TGGAGGGGGAGATGGATATAAAGGTAAGGAATTATAATTTGGTGTGATAAAGTCTTTGATGAGAGTGTATAATAGGTTTAGCAAGAGGAGTAGACAACATATGCTTTCTTTTGTTTCTGAGAAAGAAGAGACAACAGGTAAAGTTTCGCTGAGAAGGAAATTCTTAAGCTGAAACTGAAGGCTTTTGCTGGAGGTGTATGTTGGAGTAGGAAATCAAGTTTGAGGAGTAACATCATAACCTATAAGTAATGAGCTTCCTGTAGGAAAGTATTGGCAGATGATTTGAGAATTTTCGAGTTATCTTTCTGTAAGATCCCTCTACAGCTTGAAAGCCAGTCCCAACCTGTCCCTGCCCTAAGCCAGAGTTTTTGGAAGCCCACATTGGTGTGATAGATAGCTGCTAACTAACTTAAATCCTACGTGAAAGTCACATAATTTAAAACAGAAAGTTAAAATTAAATTATTGTGTTTGTTTACATTGCGGTGTTTTAAGTTTTTCTATCACCTTACTTTGGTCTGTTATCTTGCCTTTATAGTACCTTCATAAAGGTATATTTTATTGGAAGTCTATGTCCAGGAAACAGTAATTCAGAATTAACTTTGTAGATCTTGGTAAAATACATTAAATCATTCTTCCCCAGAAGCCTTGGTATTTTTGCTAGGCTATTTTCATGTACCTGTGTATATTGAAACATATAGCCAACAAAAATCACTTTCTGTCATAGAAAGTTTGTTATCTAAATAAAGTGCTATTCATTTATTTTAATAACTTACTATGGTTGCAGTTTTGACTCAATACTGTTTTTGTTGTTTGGGGGTTTGTTTTGATGTTTTTTCTTTCATAGAGCAAATATGTAACATATAACATTCATAGAACATATATTCTAATAATAGAAGGCACATATTTACTCTAATTACTGTAAACTCTAAAGATGATGTTTTCTTAATTATGTTTAAAGAAGTATGACTATTTAATTACATTATTCATGAATATAATTTGAGTCTCTTCATTTATTTGTAATGTTTATATTTTTTAATAAAATCTTTGGAATTTTAAGATAATGCAGAAGCTTATATATTTGACCTGAGAATGTTGTGATTCATTTCCAAGTATTTCTTTTTTTTTGTTTTGTTTTTTTTTTTTTTTTTTTTTGAGACAGAGCTCACTTTGTGCCCAGGCTAGAGTGAGTGCCATGGCGTCAGCCTGCCTCACAGCAACCTCAATCTTCTGGGCTCAAGCGATCCTCCTGCCTCAGCCTCCGAGTAGCTGGGACTACAGCATGCGCCACCATGCCTGGCAATTTTATTTTGGTTTGTTGTATATATATTTTTAGTTGGTCAATTAATTTCTTTCTATTTTTGGTAGAGACGGGGTCTCGCTCAGGCTGGTTTCGAACTCCTGACCTTGAGCTATCCGCCCGCCTCGGCCTCCCAACAAATCCAAGTATTTCTTTATGCCAGAGACCAGCTTCTATAAATTATATAGCTATTTACTGATTTGGTTTCTGCAGGTCTCATCAGGTTGTGGTTACAAAAGGAGTCTCTCAAATCAAGCCCATCTATTGCAATTCTTCCCCTCTCTGCCACCATGAGATTTTTTTGCCCCTTAAATACTCACCTACTTTTTTTTGAATACCTATGGCTTGAACAGATGCTCACAAATCCAGTCAGGAGAGGAAAACAGAGGTTTTGAATTTCATACTTTTTAAGAATATGACAGTTTTAAAATAGTTTAAATTTGTGTGCCTCTAATACTTGTACTCTACTTTTTAGCACACATTGACATAAAATCAGGGTGGCTAGAAGAGCATTAATCTTTCTCAGTTCCTTTGCCCAGGACAGGATGAAATCAGAGGAGAAAGGAACAGGCAGGGGCAAGCATCAAGAAGTTGAGGGTGTGAATGGGTAGCCTGAGACAAAAACAAAAAATGTACCAGAGGTTTCTGAACCTTGCCATGTAGCCTTGACCTACTGATTAGAGAGTTCAAATTGTATTTTGTCCTCTGCGCTATAGAATTGCTTGATAATGCTTGCTAGAAATAGTGTGAAATTATACTTGAATTTCATACTAGTAGTATAGTTATACATTTAATTTTGACAATAGTTATTTGTTTTGACTCATTAAAGAAGGTGGGGGTATCATTGAAACATAAAGATTCTCTTTAGGCAGTTTAAATAGAGAATATAAGGATGGGGAACTGATTAGGAAGCAAGATTTTAGGTTAAGTGGTTTTAAGCTTCTTTGCATCATGAAAATGTCATGAAACCTATGCACATCCTTATCCAAAAAATGCACATAATGCAAATTTTCATACAATTTCAGAGATTTACAGATCTAAAGCTCATTTATGGACCCTGCTTTAAGTCAGTTTCTTCATTTTTGGACGGTTTTGTTCTTTTAATTTTATTTAGTTTGCAACTTGCTGAATTTGTTGCAGAGACGATGATGCTAATGATCTGAAATTACAGGTTTAATTTCCATAAGGGACATTTGGCCATACTTACACTACCAACACAGATATCAAATTTAACTATTTTGTATATGAAACAAAATGCACATGTTCATCCATACACATATACATAACATTGACTATAATATGATTGGATAAGATTATGTGAATTCATTGGAACTGAAAAAAATCTCGAAATGTGTAAATGGATGTTATATCTCTAATTTAGGAATGCGGAAAAGCTTGTTATTTTCCTTTTGGAATTGTCATTTTAAATTGTGGTATCTTTGAATATAGAGCTGCTCTATAGAAGTTTTAGAATTCAATTTAATTTAAAATTGATTTTGGGGAGAACATTTCAATATATCACCTTGAAATAATTGTAGAAATCTCAGGAATTCCAAAATTTTAGAATATGATCACTGGTTCATATCCAGTAGAGATGAATGGAAAATGATGAGCATTTGCTTCATGGAAAGTGCATGCATTATGTATCATTTCTAGTCATAAATGAGATGTTGCTATAGTTTCTTTTTCTATAGCAACTATAACTTTTTATAGTTATTTTGGGTTCTTTTTTCCTTAACTATAGATGTACATAATAATAAATTCCAATCTTGGTGGAAATTTAGCAAAAAATTAAAATTCTGTATTAGTGGTTCTCAGTCTTAGTTGTCTTGACATCTTAAAGATTTACATGTTCTTTCAGACATTGAATTTTTTTTTTCCTTTTTTTTCCTTTATTCCAGAAGCTTACATGCCTGATATGTAACTTAGTGTTAAAGAAAACCTTAGTTATATTTTATCAATTTTAAATATGCTCTGACAGGTTTCCATCTGAGTCTGTTGAGTTGAGCTGAAGGCAGAGTGATGCTGGAAAGATGGTAGAAAGCATATTGAGAGACAGGAACTAGTGTATGGGGTGATATATTAACATGGTTACAAAGTGGATGCTAAATAAATATTCCTCATGTAGTCTAATGCTTTATTACCTGTTTATAGGTAAACTTCCTGTGAACTCCCTTTGAGAAGGACAGCCATAGACTAAAGCAATAGCATTCAAGCTATTTGTTCACTTATTCATTTATTTACAAAATTATAAAAAGTTTAAAAGAAAATTTATGAGGAAAATAAGAATGTGTGCCACTGTATTTTTTTCCTTGAAGAGACTGATTTTGAAATCAGGCACATAGTAACATATTTACATCTATAAAATGTAGTCATCACCGTTACAAGGTGTTGCAAAAGCAGGGTCGAAAATCATAGGACTTTAATAGTATAAACAAACATGTTCTTTGTGATGCATGTAATGCATTTGTACAGCCCTGTACTAGCTGTTTCTGAGATCACAAAATAAAATTTTAAAACCAAGAATAATAGTTAAATACCATACATAATACCATTTTATTCTGATGTACTAAACAAAATATCCCCCTAGGCAGTACAGGATTTCTCACTATCTCTATATGTCTGTGCCCAGGAGAAATTTTATAAGGATGCTAAGCATTGAATGTCAGCCAGATTACTAAGTAGGTTACTAAATTAGAGTTTTTAGTAATGTCTAAAAATGAATTGTAGTTTATTAATGCCAAGTTTAATTTACCTTTTAATAACTTAGTAGTACTAGTAAATAGCCCTTGACTACTATAAAAAAGAAAAGAAAAGAAAATCTAAAGAATTGCAAATCATTTTCCTGTTAAAGAAGTCTTGCATTTGGAGATTGCTTTCAGCCTGTTGGGGGTTCCCAAGGTCTGTCAAAGGAGTCTTAAAGATTCACTTGCAATCCTGGAAGAAAGTAAAGTACTGTAGAGATAAAATATCGGTATTCTTGTCACTAAGGAAAACTTTTCCACTAGAGATTACTAATTACTATTACTAATATACCTTGAGAGATGGTATTCTATTAATAAATGTGAGGCCAGAATGTGAGTTCCTCAAGGCCATGAATTACAGCATATTCACATTAGTATTTAAGGAAGTCAATTGATACTGTAACTGGCACAAATAAATGATTGTGTGGAATGAATCTGGGCAAGACCCTACCTAATGCATTGTTAAGTCCTCTGGGAACAAAGCTTTTTAAAACCAAATTGATCTGGATGTAGAAGTAAAAAGAAATACAAACCTTTTTCATTAGATGTGGTAGGTGCTCACTTGGCTATAGCTTCCCAGGACTTTCATATCACTGATTGGAAATCATTCTAAGGGAAGGCAAGGAACCCAGAGGAATGAAAGGGAAGGAATGCAGTGGAGAAAGAAACCTTATCCTCAAATGCCTCTATAGGTCTCCTATATATTTTTTTCTTATAGTAGCATTTCTGACAGAATTATGAACTTTTTCATTACTAGAAGTATTACCTAGTTAGTTTATATCTGGAGATAAGGTACCTGTTTACCTGTGGGGAAAAAAATAAATGGCATAACTCTTCTAATAATTAGATTGAGTCTATATGCAGTTTAAGTCCAATAATTAACGTAAAACCAACAGTAACATATCATAACAACTAACCTGGTTGACCAATAATTACTTTTTCTCTTGCTTGGTCTTAGGGTTTTGACCCACCACATCAAAGTGATACAAGAACCATTTACATAGCCAACAGGTTTCCTCAGAATGGCCTTTACACACCTCAGAAATTTATAGATAACCGGATCATTTCATCTAAGGTAAGGATTAACACTTTTATTATTAAAACTTTAGATATATGGTATTTTATTTTGAAAATGATTTATTTTGTTTGAGTATATATTTATATCCTTACAAATTCAAGAAAATGGTGGTTGAGAGATTTATCTTAAATAAAATAGTGAACTGTAAAATAAAAGGAGTTGCTAGTCTCTGATATCAAGTAGCCAGCATGCCAATTATCTTTAGTTACAGTTAAACTAAGGAACTATTAATAATATTTATGCTGGGTGCCAGGTCCTATATTAAGTGCTTTTCATATAATATCATTTAATCCTTACAACAGCCTTATAAAATAGCTCTTATAAAATCTATTTTACAAAGTATTATTATACTCATATCAGTTTCTTCAATTGACGTGCTGAGAAATTGAATAATTTTTCCAAGATTACACACCAGTAAGTGACTAGGTTGAAATTTGAACTCAGTTCTGTGTGACTTTCAAGCCTGCTTCCTCCAATTTTATCACTCATCTGTAAACATTTTATGGTACCAAAGTACTGCTTCACTTACATATATTCTTGTTTCAGTTTTTCCTATGGCATTTTTAGAGTAGTGCTGTCCAATAAACTTTTCTTTCATGATAGAATTGTCCAATATGATGACTAATAGCCATACAGGCCTATTGAGGCCTTGAGATATGACTAGTGCAACTCAGGAACTGAATTTTAAAATTTAATTTATTTTAATTTAAATGTCAGTAGCCACCTGTGACTAGTGGCTACCTTATTGGACAGTACAGTTATAGAGGATGTGAGTCAAAGAGACTGAGGGTAAATTTCTCCTTAGATCATAGCTATTGCTTGAAAGGGCACCTTAAGAAACATCTTTGTATTTCTTGTTCTTTCTTCCTTTCCAGAACAGCTAATAGTTTTTCTCTAAACCTGATGTTATCTTTCTCCAAAATGTTGCCTTAAGTCAGCAGTTCCTTTGCCCTGTCCTTTTTTTCTGCCTTCACATTATTTATGTATGTAACGTACCTATTAGTATGTAACGTACCTATTATGTATGTAACGTACCTCTCTCATTTTGGATGATGGTTCTAAAGTAGAAGGTAGGAAAAAGAAATATCAGAATCTAGAATGATGGAGCTCCACAGCTGTTAGTAAATTATGGCATTCTTAAATTCCTTCCAAACCAGATACCTGCTGTTCTACAAACTCATGTTGAACTTTCCTTTTATTGTGCCTTTGCTTTGATTTCATGTTGTTAACTACAATTTTTTAAATGTAGATTTTATGTTTTTGTAGACTTTGAAGGTTTTGTTTTTGTAGAAATATAGAATTCGTGTTTTTGACCACAATTTCTAGAATGTAAATATTTATATAGATATTCAGGAAATAAAAGTTCTTTTGAAAACTTTTTTTTTTTTTAACTAGGGGTGTGATTTACATTCAATAAAATTCACCAATTTTAAGTATACAATTGGTGAGTTTTGACAAATGTGTAATATCATGGATACAGTAAAAGTCTTTGGTGTCTGATTTCTCTTCACTTAACATAATATGCTTTTGAGAGTCATTTTTGTTGTTGTATCAGTACCAGTAGGTCATTCCTTTCTAGTGCATAGTTTAGCTGTCAGTCTTGTTTTGGATAGTTTATGTTCTGAATTTGGGTCATTTTTTTATGTGGTTCTCTCAATACTAGTATTTTCCCTTTACATTTCAGCCCTTAACTCTTGTTGATAAGGTTGTAGTTTTTCACCTGCTGTTTTGCTGACTTAGCTCTGTTGGAGTTGGATACTGTCTCCAAGCTAAGAAGCCAAAAATTCACAATTCGTACTTCTTCTATTTGCAATTTTTTGAAGTTAAATTCTCTTCCTACTTCTATCTATATTTTGGAGACCTTCCAGGATTTTAAATAGTTTTTTAAATGTAGTCTTTCCTAGGAGTTCATTGGACCACTTAACTACTCTGCCAATACTGGAAACTGTCCTTCTGGAAAACTTTTGGGATTAAATAAATATCTTTATATGGCTATTTTCATATGTATCAGTATTCGGCTTAATGTTCTTGACCATAGTTTCAAAAATGTAGATATTTAAATGAACATTGCCCTTTTTTTATTGTTAGCATGAAGGAGGACTCTCTCTCTCATTACTGACTCATTACTACTTTATTATGCCACTGTGGCTTTTTTAAACTCCTTTCAAACCAGATTACTTGCTGTTCCACAAACTCATGTTGAACTTTCCCATCATTGTGCCTTTGTTTTGATTTCATGTTGTTAGCTACAGTTTTTTAAATGTAGATTTTATGTTTTTGTGGACTTTGAAGGTTTTGTTTTTGTAGAAATATAGAATTCATGTTTTTGACCACAGTTTCTAGAATGTAAATATTTATACAGATACTGTCACTTTTTTCCTGAGCATAATGAGTACTGCTTCTCGTTACTCTTTTTCCTACCTTTTATTTCCTGTTATTCCCTTCTAGACTGTGTTATTTTCTATCTTACAAAGCCATGGTGAACTTTCCTCCTCTGTTCTTTGCTCATGCAGTCCAATCTTTCTGAAATGTTCTCCTTTATTTGCCTTTGATTTTCAGCCTGTTGAATGTTCCTCTTTTAAAGCCCATGTCAAATATAATCTTTGTTAAGTTTCTCTTTCATTTCCAGCATCTCTGAATACAGCTGTTGATATTTTGTTCTTACTCTCTTCTATTTAATACTAAGCATCTTCTTTTTGTTTCTTTCATAGTGCAAGTGTCTTGCACATTGTAGATACCTGATATGTCTTTGTCTAATTTATTTGACCATAGTAACTACTTTAGCTTAAATTTAAACTTTCTTGTAAAATATTTAATTTTATAGCCATGCTTTGGTTTGCTTACTAAGGAACAAGATAGGGTTAATTATACAGTCATATATAACTATAGGGAAGTTATATTTTAATTCTTTTATCTTAACCATTATTACATAATAATTAAGAGAAGCATAATAAATTGTTACTTTTGTTGGTAATATTTTCATATTGTTCAATATTATACTATTAGAGTTCCTCCTCTTATATATTGGCCAAGCACAGAATTTAGACTCATTCAATCTGTTAACATATTTATATTTTATAAAACCTGGAAACAACAGTTCCTACCATTTGTATGTTAGTTTTCATAAGAAATTTTTATTTGTTCTGAGTTTTTTTCTTGTATTATTGAGCTAGCAAAAAAACCACCATGAGAAATGGGCATTTATTGAAACCTTAAAATCTGTACCCCCATAATATGCCAAAAAAAAAAAAAAAAAAAACACCATGAAACCAATGATCTTACTGCTAATTTTTTTTTTTTTTTTTTTTTTTTTTTTTTTTGAGACAGTCTCTCTTTGTTGCCCAGGCTAGAGTGAGTGCCATGGCGTCAGCCTGCCTCACAGCAACCTCAAACTCCTGGCTCAAGCAATCCTCCTGCCTCAGCCTCTCAAGTAGCTGGGACTACGGCATGACCACCATGCCTGGCAATTTTTTCTATATATTTAGTTGGCCAATTAATTTCTTTCTATTTATAGTAGAGATGGGGTCTCACTTTTGCTCAAGCTGGTTTCGAACTCCTGACCTTTAGTAGTCCACCCGCCTCAGCCTCCTAGAGTGCTAGGATTACAGGCGTGAGCCACCGCGCCCAGCCCTTACTGCTAATTTATACAACTGCTCTCATCAAGATGTGCCAAGACAAAGTATATTGTCACTGTTACGATTTTTTTTTTTTTTTGAGACAGAGTCTCATTTTGTTGCCCAAGCTAGAGTGAGTGCCCTGTCGTCAGCCTAGCTCATAGCAACCTCAAACTCCTGGGCTCAAGCAATCCTACTGCCTCAGCCTCCCGAGTAGCTGGGACTACAGGCATGCGCCACCATGCCTGGCCAATTTTTTCTATATATATTAGTTGGCCAATTAATTTCTTTCTATTTATAGTAGAGACGGGTCTCTACTCTTGCTCAGGCTGGTTTCGAACTCCTGACCTCAAGCAATCCGCCCGACTCGGCCTCCCAAAGTGCTAGGATTACAGGCATGAGCCACCTCGCCCGGCCACTGTTATGATTTAAATAGATTGGTGTAAACTTAGGACATTGCCAACTTAATTCAAAAGTCAAAATAAATTATTAAAATGTCTTAGATCTGCCTTCTCCAACTTCTAAAATATTATATTAAAATTGCCAATAAATAGAAAAAGAACAAAGGAAAGCAGAATAAAAGTCTTGAACTCTGGAACCCAAGTAAATAGTTTTTGTATTATCAAGAGTTACAGATTTTATTTAACAGCTTAGTAAATTTGATTTTACTTTTCTCATTGTATCTATATAATGTATATATTATTTTTCAATATTAATTCATTGATCTCTCCTTTTTCTTTTTAGTATACTGTGTGGAATTTTATTCCAAAAAATTTATTTGAACAATTCAGAAGAGTGGCAAATTTTTATTTTCTTATTATATTTTTGGTTCAGGTAAGCTTTATCACTCAATAGACTGTTAAATTTGTAAATGTGGTCTCTAAAAATGTATCTTAGAACAGAGAAAAATTACATTGTGTTTTTAATTATTTGACCGTGTGACCATTTTTTTTCTGGAAAGCTTTGCCATTTTATTCAGTGAATATATAATGATCAAAATCACATCTAGATTTCTAAAACATAGCCTATGAATTTTAAGATTAATAATATTTTGTTTCATCAGTGACGTGCTATAGTATTTAGATTAACCATAATCTAAGCCAAGAATATAAATCTATCATCTTTCAGATGCTCTGCCTCAGAACATAAATATTTTGGCTTTTAAAATACAGTGCATGTTTTTGGTGTATTTCTATCTTTGGAATTATCTTTGTTCAAAGTAAACTTTTCTTTGGCTTTTAATTTTTTTAATTTTAATTTTTTAAAAGAATTTTAATTTTTAAGCATCCCTGTGGGTATAGATTATTTATTCAAGAGTCTGTTTTCTTAGTTTAGATTTGTTTTAATTATAGACTGCTTGACAGTTTCTTAATTTTCACATTGTGCTTTGATATCTCTATCAAAATACCAAGGGAACTGCCCATGAAACTTAAGTATAGGTCAAGTCAAAAAATAATGATTGTCACCTTTCCTTTAAAGAAGTTATTGTTTTGATAAAACTTTAGCAACTTCTTTTAGTATTGCACTGAATTTTTGCATAAACTCTGAATTTTTCTCCCAGAACAACCTGCAATTTCAAAAGAAAAATTAAAACTTGGCAAATGATCATTTTAAAGCTTTAGGAAACATTTACTTTTTAAAAAAGTTACTTTCCTTCATGAAGAGACAAGGAACTTCTAATTTTCTGTTAATAGAGCATCATCTTGATTTTCTTGGAAAAGCAAGAAATTTATACTAACCATATCCACATAACATCCATGCATTTGTGAAAATACTAGCTAAGATCAGAAATTCAGTTTGTCTGTGGAAAAGAAGAAATTTAATTGGCCTATCCACAATAAAGGAACATTAGTAAGTCATTAGATCCATGTTCTAAGTAACCATATGTAATTACTTTATAAATATTTCTTTACTTCTTCAGCAGTTTATTGAAACTTCAGTTGTATGATTTAAATCCTGATTGCAGCATCATTTTCCTAGCTATCTCACTCTGGCTCTGCTAGATGTAACAAAAAGGGTTTCAGTTGTAGAAAAAACCCTTTCCATAGTCTTGTTCCTAGTTCTCTGTCCCTAGTGTTGAGTTGAGTTTATTCTGAATCCCAAGGTAAAACTTGCTGACAGACTTTTCAGCATTTATTAGTATGTGCAAAGAAATGTGAAATGAGATCTGAGCAGCTATAGCTCCACTCCTTGGTATATATTGAGAAAAAACTTAAGGACTCTGTATGTGTTAAGAAAGCAGAGTGACCGAGTTCACTCTAACAGTATATGTGGATAGGCAATAGACATAATTATTCTTCCAACCCCATATAACGGCCAACAAAGTGAAATTGTGAAACTATACCCATTGTGTAATAGTATGAGATGTCAGATGTTAATAGTGTGACATACAATATAAAAATATAATAACTCTCCATTCTTTTTTTTTAATCTAGCTTATGATTGATACACCTACCAGTCCAATTACCAGTGGACTTCCTTTATTCTTTGTGATAACAGTAACCGCCATAAAGCAGGTATGAAATACTTTCTATTATTGTTGTTTTCCCCTAAGTCATTCAGAAGTTGCTAAATATTTCTACTCCAAAGTAACATTTATTGTTGTGAAAATAATTTCCATAAGAAAGTAGCAAATTTATTTGATACATGGTAAAATTAAACAAAAACAGCCACTGTATTATATTAATATTTCAGGTACCTGGTGACTCATGAAATGATTACCATTGTTAAAATATGTTGTTCCCTTGACATATCTAGGAAGCATCCCAAAATAAGTATTATATATATACCTACAAATTTATATATGATACTGAGTTTTTATTATAATCATCTTTGTAGAGTTTGGTGATATTTAAAGGAAATACAGCTCAAAAGGGATATATTTATAGGGAGTGGAAAATGTACTTCTGGCATGAACATTTGTGAATAAAAATTATATAGTGCTTTTCTACTTTTTTACAGCTTTCTCTGATAAAGTTATTTTTTAGGTAAAGTAATACCCTAGGGGAAATAGCTTCAACCAAATCATAGTTTGACATTAAAATCTAGGTATAGAGAAACAGGATTATTGGATAAACATAACAAATAAGAAGTAAAGAAATTTATAGAAATGTCATATTGATATAACCACCCCTCCTCAAAAAATCTCGACAGAGACTCAGTTATATAGGGATGATTTTGTCTACCTGCAAGAGAGTTAATGAATTTTCTTATATAAATGTGATAAATTTTCATTTTGAAAGATAGAAGCATAAGGTATAAATTGACATGGAAATAAAATTAACAAACATTTTACAATTCTAGGATGAAATCTGTTGTTTGTTACTTACATAAGAAGGATAAGAGGAGCCTGTAGATTAACAATTACATTATGCATTCAATGTGTCAGAATATTGAGCCACAACTCTCACTAAACTTAATTTCCCTTTCTTCACTCTTAGAGACTGGGTTTGTGTGTATTAGTCAATAAGCATCCAGATCACTCCATACAATTACATATTTACTTAGTTTTGCAGACGTCATTTATTTCATCAAAGTAACACATATTTGTCCCTTGGACCTCTTTTCTGTATGTATTTTCCTCTTAGGTGATTTCATCCAGTCTACTGGCTTAAAGTACTATCTATATGTTGATGGTTCTCAAATTTATATCTATCTTGAAACTATTCTTTCAACTCCAAACACACGTATACAACTGTTTGCACATTTCCATTTGGTTATCTCACAAGAATCCTAAATAGTTCTCTTTTTTTTCTTCTAAAACTGTGCTACTCTTACTTTTCCCAGTTTATTGAATGGCACTACCCATCCACCCACCATAAAACTTGGAATCATCATACTTTGACTATTGCCATGTTTCAACTTTTTCTCTTCTCCCCTTTTGTCTGCCTTTGCCCTTTGTACTGTATTAAAATAAGAAAAAGCTCTATTATCAATTACTTATACTTTAATATGAATGAGATTGTCAGTTCTTTATTTTTAACTTCTCCCAATCACATTTTCATATTAAGTCTTCTCTGCAATTGTATAATGCAAATATAGTGCTCTGGTAAATATTCTTTGCCCTCCATGAACCTAAAACCTATAAAGTAGGAACATAAGACAAAACATAAAAATAATTAGTTTAATAGAATAGTAGTGAGATCCAGTTAGTGGTAGAACACGTGATCAGAAAAGATGAGGAAATATTATTAAGATGAGTCTTGGAACATGGATAAAATGACAATTGATGAAGAAGGTGAGGTAGAAACAAACAACTTGGGCAAAGGACCAAATGAGAAAAAAGGCAAAACCTCTTTGGGGGAATTATAAGTCTAACTAATGTTTGGCCCTGTTTAGGAAAGTATTAAGAGATCATACTAGAAGTGTAGGTTGGTTCTAAATTAAGGAAACTAGAAGATTCTTTGCAGTAAGCATTGAGAGTCATTGAAGGGGAGCTTTGAGCAGGATAGTGAGTTAAAACAGTGTTTTGGGAAGATTAAACTGGTAGTAATATGTAGGCTGCCTTAGAATTTGTGAACTTGGATAAAAAAAAGAAAGTGAATTATTGCTGTGCTATTAATGTCATCTGACTATAAAAGAAAGTGTGCTTTCTGACAATTTCAGAAATGATGTTTTGACTCTTAATTAAATTTCTCTGAAATGATATATTACAGCTTAAATGGGGCCAACATAATTTAGTTATCTAAAGAGTGCTTTCCAAAAAGTTTCTGCCTGAAAAAAATAGACCTTTAAAGGAATCTTTAATATTTTGCTTTTTATTTTATGGTATTTTAATATTTTTAAAGTAATAGATACTTTTAAAATTGGAAACATTATAACATAGCATAGAATTAAAGTCTGTCTTACACATTTAACCTCCAGTCTCCTAGTTCTCCTGAGGGAGCAGTTATTTGTAAATTAGTCCAGATATCTATACAAAGTGTTCACATAGGCAAGCATATTTTTTCACAAATGGCAACATAGAACACAACCTATTTTGTAATTTACTTTTTATCACTTGATACTGTCTCTTAGATATCATTCCATTATCTGTACTTATGCTGTACCTCTGGGTCCTTGAATCTTCATAAAATAGCACAGGAAGTCTTTTTCACTTAAAAAAAATCACCACTCCTTAATGTTTAATCACAGGATTCTTGTGAAATGATTTCATTTGTTTCCCTTTTTAATGATGATCCATATAGCCCACTATATTTTTGTAAGTACAGTTGACCCTTGAACAACATGGGGTTGGGGGAAATGACACTCCAGCATTGAAAATCCATGTATAAATTTAGACTTCTCAAAGACTTTACTAATAGTGTGCTGTTTTATCTATTTTCTTTATTTACATTTTTTAGAGACAGACCCTTGTTCTGTTACCCAGGATGGAGTGCAGTGGCATGACTCCACCGTACTGCAACCTCTAACTCCTAGGCTCAAGCAACTTGCCACCTTAGCCTCCCAACTAGCTAGGACTAGAGGTGTATGCCACCTGGTCAGGCTACTTTTTAACATTTTTTTGTAGAGATGGGGTCTTGCTGTGTTGCCCAGGCTGGTTTCAAACTCCTAGCCTCAAGTGAGCCTCCTGTCTCAGCCTCCCAAAGCACTGGGATTACAGGCATAAGCAACTGCACCTGGCCTAATAGCATACTTTTGACCAGAAGTCTTACTGATATGATAAATAGTCGATGAACACATATTTTGTATGTTATATATATTATACAGGATACTGTATTCTTAACAATAAAGTAAACTAGAGAAAACATTATTAAGAAGCTCATAAGGAAGAAAAAATATGTTTACTATTCATTAAGTGGAAGTGTATCATCATAAAGTTCTTCATCCTTATCCTTGTCTTCTTCATGTTGAGTAGACTGAGGAGGTGGAGGAAGAGGATGGGTTGGTCTTGCTGTTTCAGGGGTGGCAGAGGAAGAGGTAGAGGAGGTAGAAGGGGAGGCAGGAGAAGCAGGCATACTCCGTGCAACTTTAATTGAAAAAAGTCTGCATGTAAGTGGATTTGCACATGTACATTCAAACTCATGCTGTTCGACTTTACTAATTATAAATACTTCTGTTGGTCTATTGTTTAAGAAAGTAAAAGAACTCAATCTTAGTTTCAAAATTTTTTTATTTTTTTCTACTTATTATCTATAAATTTATACTTTATGATTAAAATATCATTTGTACATAGAATTTAGTGACTGATCAAGTGTTAGAGAAAGGTAAGAGTCAAGAATGACTCCCCAGATTTCTGGCAAAAGCAAATTTCTGGTAGACATTGGAAATGCAACAGACTTTGGAGATAACATCAATTTGTTTTTTAATAGGTTTAAGATATTTATGAGACTTCAAAATAGAGATATTAACAAGGCAATTAGATATTCAAGTTTGGAGTCCAGAAGAGAGATGTGGTCTGGAGATATAAATTCAGAATTACCAGCATATTTATACTATTTGAAGATGCAGGGATAGAAGAAATCTAGTGAGAAAGTGAAGTATGAGAAAAAGGCCCACAAAGGTGACCTAGAAGGAGCCTCCCATAAAAATTGAGAAGTAACTAGGGGTCCTTTGAAAGCCAGGAATATGGGTATAATGAAAACCAAGAAAAGAGAGTGTTTCTAATAGGAAGGAATATCAAATACCTATAAGCATACCTTATACATCAAAGAAGCCTCATATAATTCTGGTAAGTGAAATGTTTTGGGCAAGGTTTTATGTTTTTGTTTTTTCTTTTCTCATCTGGCAAAAGTTTCTTCAACTTATACTAAAAAGATATTGTTTATTCTTTGGATATTTACAGGGATATGAAGATTGGTTACGACATAACTCAGATAACGAAGTAAATGGAGCTCCTGTTTATGTTGTTCGAAGTGGTGGCCTTGTAAAGACTAGATCAAAAAATATTCGGGTATGCATTTGGTATATAATAGAAATCAGTTGTATTTTGGTGCCATAGGCAGCACATAATTCTAATATTGATTGTGGTTTAGTTAAAAACCTGCTTTCCTGTACTAAAATACTGTGATAGACCACTTATTTAGTATCCAATAAAAATACGTCCTTGCCTTCTAAAATCTGTATATTCACTTTTCCTCCAAATTCTTCATAGGTGGGTGATATTGTTCGGATAGCCAAAGATGAAATTTTTCCTGCAGATTTGGTGCTTCTATCCTCAGATCGACTTGATGGTTCATGTCATGTTACAACTGCTAGTTTGGATGGAGAAACCAACCTGAAGGTTTGTTCATGCATATGTTTGAGTGTTGCTCTGGGTAAACAAAATATCTTTGGGTTATAGTAATATTTTTCTTTGGTTAATGTAATAAAGTTTGACCTGATTAAGGAGAAATTATTTTAAATTACTGAAACTTTTTAAAAATTAAAGTTTTGAAAAAGAATTGATATTATTATATATGTATTTTAAGGGTAGCCTCACATGGTTTAGTCAATTCAAGTTAAAAACAAAGTAATTTTAGGAAAAATATAACCTTTTAATATTTTGGTAACTTTTAGAATAAGGGACAGATTTCAGTTTTCTCAGTTTTCACAGTATAATCAAGGGGGAATAGTCACATTTTTTCCTGTTAAATTGCTTATAGTAAACTTTGAGCAATAGTGTCTGTACACACAGACTTAATTTCCTTATATGCAAATGGCCTTTGTAGATGGGTAATTATAGTAGCTCTGTTTGCTCCTTGTTTATTTTACATTTTTCTCTCTCTGTTTTGTTGTCTAGCTGAGTGAGCTTAAGTACAGTTTGCTGTGGTTTTTATCCATAAAAGAGATTTGAAGTAGTTGGTATCTAAGGTCCCATTTGGATCTTGAAACTCTGCAATTTAATTCATGTTTTTCAGACACACGTGGCAGTTCCAGAAACAGCATTATTACAAACAGTTGCCAATTTAGACACCCTCATAGCTGTGATAGAATGCCAGCAACCAGAAGCAGACTTGTACAGGTATGGTGTGATGTTCAATGTACTTATGTTAAGTCCTGTTTACAGACCTCATTTTTTATAACTCATAAACATACAATGAAATCTTTAGCCAATTAGAGACATTATTTGTGGAGCAGGTTGAAGGGGGATACAAATAAGGGGAAAAATGTTAAAAGCAGAATTTGCCAGGAGTCTAAGGAAAAAATATTAATTCAAAAGCTGTGTTTTTGTTCACAATTTCCTTCATATTACCTTCTATTTTGGTATGAACTAGCATGCTCGCTTTGTAGCTATAACAGTAATTGCAGTAGAAGTAATATTACCTTAGAAAAAATAATCTAATTTTTTTGGTAAGCTCCGTGAAGGGAGGGGCTATTTTTTTGTTTTCACTACTATATTATTTAGAGGATACTACTTTTAAATTAAAAGCATTTATATAGCGTTCAATATTTCACTTATATATAGCACTTAATAAAGTAAAAAAGATATAATTTTATATAAATATTATTCTTAACAGCTATGAGTTCCTCAGGAATAGAAACTGTTCTTACTCATATATCACCTATCATAATGAGCACAAAATTAAAAATTTTTAAAAATTTATTAGATATTTAAAGATCTTGTTTCTGAAAGGATGGAAAGAAGGAAAGGAGGCCGGGCGTGGTGGCTCACGCCTGTAATCCTAGCACTTTGGGAGGCCGAGGCGGGCGGATTGCTCAAGGTCAGGAGTTCAAACAGCCTGAGCTGAGAGCGAGACCCCCCCTCTCTACTATAAATAGAAAGAAATTAATTGGCCAACTAATATATATAGAAAAAATTAGCCGGGCATGGTGGCACATGCCTGTAGTCCCAGCTACTCGGGAGGCTGAGGCAGTAGGATCGCTGAGCCCCGGAGATTGAGGTTGCTGTGAGCCAGGCTGATGCCACGGCACTCACTCTAGCCTGGGCAACAAAGTGAGACTCTGTCTCAAAAAAAAAAAGAAGGAAAGGAACAAACTTCTTTTAATATTATGGTTTACTAAATAAAATATCAGTCATCTTTCAGTGATCTTGCTAATTATTATAGGCTATGTAATAGAAACAGCTTTCTATTGTTAAGGATTTATATGAGACACTAAGTTCATTTCTACTCAGTAACTGGTGATAGACTATAATTTGCAAGCACATTATAAAAATTACCCTCAGCTTCTTTTTTTTTTTTTTGAGACAGTCTCACTTTGTTGCCCAGGCTAGAGTGAGTGCCATGGCGTCAGCCTAGCTCACAGCAACCTCAAACTCCTGGGCTCAAGCAATCCTGCTGCCTCAGCCTCCCGAGTAGCTGGGACTACAGGCATGCGCCACCATGCCCGGCTAATTTTTTTCTATATGTATTAGTTGGCCAATTAATTTATTTCTATTTATAGTAGAGATGGGGTCTCACTCTTGCTCAGGCTGGTTTTGAACTCCGGACCTCAAGTAGTCCATCCGCCTCGGCCTCCCAGAGTGCTAGGATTACAGGTGTGAGCCACTGCGTCCGGCCAAGCTTCTTATCATCATATTGTATATCTCCCCCGTTTGTCTTCCTGCATACATCCCTCTCTTGGTTTTCTTCCTGCACTTTAGATTTAAGGCAGCCAGAAGTTTAAATATCACTATCAGGTTAAAGAAGCTCTCCAGTTCACTTAGAGGTTTTTGCTTACTACTGTTAGTGGTAGGCCACTTAACTCATACATGCCAGTTGCTCAATGAATATTTGTTGAATAAATGAATAAGTAGATAAATGATTTGGTTCCAGTGATCCATAGGTCACAGAAGGCTTTATTTAGTAAATGGTAATGAAATATATGAACATTCATTGTTGGCTAAATAATGTATATATCTTTGTTTAGCAGTTATAAATTCTCATGATAACCAAACTAATAATAATGTATAACATCTACATTGCCATTTTGAAAACATTTTTAGTTATTACCTCATTCATAGCTGGAGTACGGGTGGCAATAATTTTAGATTTTTTAAAGCTTGAGGACTATTTATTTTTATAATTTCTGCCATGAATATTGGACCATTTGTATATATAAAAGGTTGGTTTTGTTTCATTTATGAGAATAGTGCTAAAACTATCCAGAATGTTCCACCCATTGATGTCATAAGTAATATAACATATATATTTATAATATGGTGAATTTTTTAATAGATTCATGGGACGAATGATAATAACTCACCAAATGGAAGAAATCGTAAGGTAAGAATAACTTCATGTTATTTAATTACTTTTAAGTGGGAACTGTTTGGAAGGACTAGAAGTTAAAGGGGAGATTAGCTGAATAAACAGCATATCATGGAAATGGTTTAACTTAAAACATTTAACATTTCATCTGCTAGTAATTTGTAGCAGCAGTGAGTAAGGATGAAACAAATCCTATGAAATGACATAAGAATAATTTAGTAAGATTGTTTGAATTTTTATATTTCATTTTCTATTAATATTTGGTAGTAACATTAAAATAAAACATAGCTGCTTTAATTCAGATTCTTATGCATTTAAACCCACAACACTTAAAGGCTAGAATATGAAAAATAATTTATATAATATTTAACAAGTATAAATGCTATGGTTTTCTTTACTTCAGAATCATTCAGCACAAGCTAAAGTATTTATGGCTGATCCAAAACTGCTTACTCACTCTTCTGATTAGTTTATTGCTTGGTTGGTTGTTTTATTTTATTTTCCCTCAATATCCAGGTTAATTTCTAGTGCCTTAATTTGCATGAGTGCAAAGATTTGCTGATAGGATGAGATTACACTGTTATTCATGACTGTAAACCTAATTTATAATCAATCTTGGAATCAGTCCTTGAATTTCTAATCAAATTTGACATTCTATTTCTTTTCTTGGGACATGGTCAATTTATACTGGCTGTATGAAATAAGTCACTAACAAAGAGTGGAGCATTTTTCAATAAAATCCTTAAGACAAGCCAACAAAAATATTATGTATTAGCACTGATTCACATTTTTAATAAGCATTAACATAGGAGTACATTCAATAAACTCTGTAATAAAATATTTTATGTGTAGGACCCCTGCTGAGTAACTAAATTTATTTTGATTTTTGGTGGTGAAATAGTGGGAAATGTGTGACTACATAGACTGAATTGCATTAAAATATTATGGCTAGTCAAGAAAAATAGCAATTATGTTACTTTAGTTCTAGGGTGGTTAAAAATGAACCATGTTCTTCACTGAAGCAACCTGAATGAATTGATGAGTTATCTTTCATTTATTTATTTATTTATTTTTGTTGTTATTTGTGTTTTTTGCAGGGTTCCCAACTTTTTATTTTGCCAAGTTAGGAAAGTAAACAATCATAGCCACAACAACTATCATCTATCCTAATCAATTTTATAAAAGAAAGGACATTTAAAAACAAAATTTTAAAACGTAAAAAAAAATTATATCAGTTTAAAGGTTTCTTGACATATATGTTAATTATGTGATATATAATGAAATACATATTTTATATAAGATATAAAGTATATATAGGCCACGTCGCCTAATCGAAAAAAATAAATAAATAAAGTATATGTATATATACACATATGTATATATAATTTCTGTACATGCCTATCTTTGTTTGTGTGTATTCTCATTTCACTGAACACCATTGAAAACTTGGATGGACCTGCACCTAAACTGGAGCCCACTGATTAGAGGATGATGGCAGCACAGAAAGGGAGGATGTTCTGTGTGGAGGATATGGAGGGGCCCTGCAACTCAGTCAATATAGAAAATGGCTTATTAGGCCCAATACTGACAAGGATCCCTAGGTTGATGATGGTGGCATTAGGAGGTCTTTGTCCTTAGATACTTGGATGAGGATATGTCAGCGTGGAAGTCCTGAAGTAGCAGCATTTTAAACTCTGTGTTCTGTCTGGGTACCTAATAATATACTAGTAGAAATCTTTCAAAACAGCTGGGATTGAAGATATTAACTTTGTAATACGAAGCTCCCTTATTTAGATATTGCATTTTGCCAGACGTGATTGGACACATGATACACTATGCATGTATAAATTGTCTAGATCAGAATAAAAAAGCTAGTTAATGTACTTTTCTGAGCAAAACCAACTGAACTCCTGAACCCACAGAGAGCATCCATTTTTGTTTCTCCAAAGACTCTTCCTTCATTTGATGAATTATCTTTTAATCTGAAGCTATCATTGTATACCAATTTGATATGCCAATATGAGCACAAAGAATTCCTATTTATTGTTAGAAGCAGCATCAAGTGAAAATTAGCTATTTTATAGCTCATGATTGGTTCCCATATTTATTTTGGAATATTCGTGGAGCGCACTCCAAATATGACTGCCTAGTAGAATCATACTTGTTAACTATATCCCAAACATCTGGTCCTCCTTGGTTCGTTGCTTTTTTAAAAAATTTTTTTAACAGTATTTGAGTTTGCAGATATCTTCATAAATGGTTCAGATTCTCTTTGGTTTAGATAACTGTTTATATTGCAGAAAAGCATAAAGAATATTTTAAAAAGGCTTTTTAACTTATCCATAGCAGACTCTTATCATTTTGCTATCACTAAGAAGATACAATTTCCTTTCTAGTTATTCCTTGTCGTTTTATATCTCCTTTATGGAGAGAAATTCAAACAGCAAGAAGACCTGTGCTCCAAGAAGTATACAATGCAAGTAGTCAAGTTATACTGTGCAATCTTGCCTAGAAAAAGTACTAACATACTTTCACATTATATTTTATAATCCAGTATAATTTTAATTGTGCAGAACTCATGCATTTACACAAATCATACTACAATCTATATTTACATTGCATTTTAATTCTATATTTTCACTTTCAAACTATTAATTTTGCCAAAAATATTTTAAATTTCACCTTCTGCTAAATGTTTTAAAATCAGTACTTAATCTTTGATTTTGCTGAATTTTCTGTGTAAAATTTTTTGATACTAGTGGCTTTGTGAGTTTATTTACACGCATATTCTTTTTTCTGAGCCACTAATCTTAAAGTGACTGAAATACTAAAGCAGGTGTTTGTTGTTACAGTAACTAACATCATGATTGGTTTAGGCAGCTTTATACAGCTAGGATTTTGGTTTTCTATGAAAGCAATGTTGTAACTATAGCCTAAGTACCTCCTGTTGAAGATGCCATTTTTGGAATTGAATTTTTAATATATTCAATGCTTTTGTGTTATTTTCCTTTTTTCCTAGACCTCTGGGGCCAGAGAGTCTCTTGCTTCGTGGAGCCAGATTAAAAAACACAAAAGAAATTTTTGGTTTGTACATGTTTAAACATTTTAAATTATTGATTTGTATTGGTGCTTTATATGAAGTATTTTAAAAAGCATAATATTTGTGGTCTTTTGATGGGATAATTTATTAACTAAATGTTTTTATGATAATTTTTGTATAAACATCATATTAATATAGTTTTGTATTTTTTTTGTTTTTGTTGATCACTGTTTTTGAGTAATAGACTAGACCCTTATTCTTATATTGTCTTTGTGTGAGTACTTGTGAAATGAGTGCCAATATAATTCTGACACTTCTAGTAATGGTGGACGTGTATAAGAACCAATATAATCTGGCATCATGGTGCCAGTAGACCACTTCTATAATTCCATTATGATTATTCTTAGATTAGATTCATTATTGCTGACTTATTCATTCATACATTCACTCATTCAATAAATTCTTGTTGAAGCTAGTTGTATACCAAGTATATTGGAACATATACCGACTAGATCAAAAGGATGAATAAATACTTCCCTTGCCTTGGAAATCTAAATTAATTTAATATACTCTGAATCAACTCTAGGCAAATTGTGAAGTTGATGATAACCTTTAGCTGTCAACTAGCTCCTCTCATTTCAGGAATGGCCCTTAGTATCCTGGCCTACCCTGTTGCCCAGTGGCTGTCTACAGCTTTCAAGGTCCTCTTTTTCATTCTCTTTTTTTCCTGTTACCTCTCTCAGTTTTAGGCTCTCTAATAAAGAAATCCATGTGTGTGTGTGTGTGTATATAAATATATATATAAAGAAAGAAAGAAAAAGAAAATAACAAGTGTTGATAAGGATATGGAAAAATTGAAACCCTTGTGCATTGCTTATGGGAGTGTAAAATGTTGCAGATGCTGAGAGAAATAGTTTGGCAGTTCTTTAATAAGTTAAACATATAATTACCATATGACTCAGAAATCCTACTCTAAATATATACCCAAAAGAACAGAAAATGGGTGTTCAAACAAAAAACTTGTACAAGAATGTTCATAGAAGCACTGTTTACAATAGCCAAAGTCGGAAACACCCCAAATATCATCACCTAATGAATGGATAAACGAAATGTGGTATATTCATATAATGGAATATCATTCAGCCAAAGAAAGAATAAAGTACTAATGCATGCGACAACATGGGTGAACCTTGAAAATATTATATTGACTAAAACAAGCCAGGCACAGAAGGTCATATATTATATGATTCCATTTATTTGAAATATCCAGGAAAATTCATAGAGACAGAAAGTAGATTAGTGGTTCTCAGAGGCTGAGGAGCAGAGGAGAATGGGGGAATGATTGCTTAATGGTTGTCTTTGGGTGTAATGAAAATGTTCTCTACTTAGTAGGATGGCTACACAAAATTATGATGTACTAAGTGTCACTGGTTAATTTGGTAAACTACATGTTATGTGTATCTTACCATAATTAAAAAAAAAAATCGGCTGGGCGCGGTGGCTCAAGCCTGTAATCCTAGCACTCTGGGAGGCCGAGGCGGGCGGATTGCTCGAGGTCAGGAGTTCGAAACCAGCCTGAGCAAGAGCAAGACCCGTTCTACTATAAAATAGAAATTAATTGGCCAACTAATATATATATAAATTAGCCGGGCGTGGTGGCGCATGCCTGTAGTCCCAGCTACTCAGGAGGCTGAGGCAGAAGGATTGCTTGAGCCCAGGAGTTTGAAGTTGCTGTAAGCTAGGCTGACGCCACGGCACTCACTCTAGCCTGTGCAACAAAGCGAGACTCTGTCTCAAAAAAAAAAAAAAAATCTATAATAATGTTTTTTAGTGGTAGAAGCCAGAGTAACCCTTCAGGGCTTTTAGACCTTTTCATGTAACACTGTATTTTAACACATCATCCTAGCATTAATACCTTCACTCTTGTTTACCTTAAAGCAGGTGTCCAAATTCTGTACACTCTCAAAAGAAAACGTGTAATTGAATGCCTTTAGATGGGTCTGTCTTCTATTGTTTTCCTCAGCACCACCACCACCTGTTTTATTATTCTGGATGTTTTCTCACATTCCTGTAATTTTAATGCCCTTTGTCATTTGAGTTATAAGCCCTGCCTTTCAGGAATAATTCTAATGATAAGAATTACAGGGCAAATCTTTAGGAAGAGGGTATGGTGGGCCTTACACTGGTTTTTAAATCTTAGTATTCAGGGATGGGGATGAACATTTATTGATGATCTGTTTCAAGGCATTTTGCTAATTTTTCATATAGATTTCATAACTCTCAAGTATTTTTTTCCCATTTATTTATTTATTTATTTATTTTTTATTTTTATTTTTTTGAGACAGAGTCTCACTTTTGTTGCCCAGGCTAGAGTGAGTGCCATGGCGTCAGCCTAGCTCACAGCAACTTCAAACTCCTGGGCTCAAGCGATCCTCCTGCCTCAGCCTCCCAAGTAGCTGGGACTACAGGCACGCACCACCATGCCCGGCTAATTTTTTTGTATATATACTTTTAGTTGGTCAATTAATTTCTTTCTATTTTTAGTAGAGACGGGGTCTCGCTCAGGCTGGTTTCGAACTCCCGACCTCGAGCAATCCGCCCGCCTCAGCCTCCCAGAGTGCTAGGATTACAGGCGTGAGCCACCACGCCCGGCCTTTTTTTTCCCATTTAAAGATGGGAAAATTGAAACTCAGACAAATTACTTACCCTGGGATATAGAACTAGTAAGTGACAGAGCTAGTATTCAAACCAAAGTCTACAAACTTTTATATTAATACAAGGCTAGTCTTTCCTAATTTCATTCATTCCCCAGTGTTAGTCCCATTACTCCTGTCTTTTTGCTCATCTCAGAGTCGTTCACATGGGAACAAGTTTTTTAAATAGCACTTCCCTTATGTTTGCTCAACTTACTTAGACAGACTTCCGTATTATCTCTCCAGTGCTTATGGAATGGTGTCTAGACTCCAGATCTTGGCATTCAGGGCCTTTCACATTCTGGCCCCAATCCTTTGTTCTACCCTAACAAAAAGTACTTTTCCATTTCTGTCTTTATTAAATATCGTTTGCTGTATCTAAATGGCTTTCCCTGCCATCTTTATCCCATTCAGCAGGTTGAGTGACCAGGGTTCCCCAAAATTGGACATCGAAAGCATTTAAAACTCTGAAAAGACTTAAAGGAAGGCAAAATTATAATTGTGATACAATATACTTTCTTAGAAGCTTTCATGCTAGTGAGTGTATTTATTTTTGTGAAACATGCTAGAAGATTATTTTAAATGATAGTTTTATTTTGTAGGTGTTGCTGTTTACACTGGAATGGAAACTAAGATGGCATTAAATTACAAAAGCAAATCACAGAAACGATCTGCAGTAGAAAAGTAAGAGAACTTTATATTTTCATTTATTTATATATAATTATAACTATGTGTATATTAATCATATGTGTATAAAATATGTATATAAATATATTTATTATCAGGTCAGGTAAACAAGATGATAGCCTTGGAATGGGAATAGTTTTTTATATTTTTATGTATACGCAGCATTTTACATAGCATTTGGCATATAGTAGGTTCTAAAGTATAACTTTAAAAATTAATACTTTGTGTAAATGGAGGAATCACTTGGTCAGATTAACCCTCCAAAAATAACAATTTAAAATATTGAAAGAATAATTAAAAAAAAAAAAACAACAATTTGAAAGCACTGGAGATTAACCAAAAGCATATAGACACTGGCAAGGAGTCTAATCCTGAAAGATGGCAGCAATAAGAGAAAAGTTTAAGAGTGCAACTTTCTGACTAAAGTCACTTCCTAATTTTTGTGCTGCTTAGGGCATCAAAAAGTCTGAGCTTTATTGAATTGAAATATCAGGGGATAAAGTTTAAAGCTCAAAGAGAAGCTAGAAAGTTAGAGGGAAATATGAAGGGAGGGAGCCATAGAAGGAATTAACTCCAAAACCTGCACATATTTTCTGCTCAAATCCTTGGCTGACTGCTAGAACTATGCATGTGCAAGGAAGACCTCAGTTGGCTTGGCAAAAGTACAACAACCAAAAGCTGAAAGAACTCAGCAGAGAACTTTGATGCTACCCATTATATTGGAAATGGAGTTTGGTATTTGCCAGCCAAATTAACTGCCTACTGGAATAAAATTCAGCACTCTTCTAGGGAACATAATAGAATGCAGACTGTCTACAGTGTATTATTTATAAAGTCCAATATGCAATAAAAACTAAGCAGACGTGAACAAATGTAACTCATACTGAAGAAAAAAAGCACTCAATAGAAACTGTCTCCAAAATGACCTAGATCTTACAATTTAAAAGATAAGAACTGTAATATATTATAAATATGTTCAAGGGCCTAAAGGAAAATTTGGATGAACATATGGGAAAACTCAGCAGAGAAGTGGAAACTGTAAAAAAAAAATCCAACGGTAATTCTTGAGTTGAAAAATATAATTACTAAAATGTAAATATCATTAGATGGGCTCAGCACCAGATTGAGGAAAACAGAAGACATTATCAGTGAATTTGAAGAAAAAGCAATAGAAATTATTCAATCTGAAGAACAGAGAGAAAAGATTGAGAAAAAATGAACAGAGCACCAGAGCCTTGTAGAGCAATATGAAGCTATCTAGCATGAGTATAATTGATCCCCCAAAAAGAAGAGAGAGAACAGGATAAAGATATTTGAAAAAAATAACAACTAAAAAATTCTGAAATTTGAGAGAAAATTTTAGCCTGCCCTACCAAGAAGATCAGCAAACGCTAAGCAGGAAAAATGCAAATAAAAAAACACCAAAACACGTAATTGTCACACTATAAAATCCAAAGAAAAAGAGAAAATATTGTAAATAGCCAAAGAAAAACACATCACATCCAAGTGATTCACAGTGTGCATGATATCTGACTCTCAGAAACAGCAGAGGACAGAAGGCTTCTGGGAATTGCTGAAAGAAAAAGAAATGTCATCCCCAAATACTATATCCAGCAAAACTAACCTTCAAAAAAAAGGCAAAATGAAGACATCATCAGAAAGCATTCACTTTCAGATCTACATGATAAGAAATGCTAAATAAAGTTATTCAGAAGGAATAAAGAGAATCATTGACAAATATGTTCCTAGGTATAAAAGACTATATGTAAAATATTCTTTTTCCCCTTTAATTGCTTTAAAAGTTATGAGCATTTCAGAGTAAATTGTACAACGTTGTATTGTGGCATTTATTTTGTGTGCGTGTGTGTATATAGCAGCACAAAAGATGAGGATGGGTATAAATGAACTGTACTATTGCAAACGTCCTACATTTTATGTGAAGTAGTACAACATCATCTCTAAGTAGATTGCAATAAGGTAAAGATGTATATTTTTTTTTTTTTTTGCATAAACATACAGAACAGGAAGAAAGATGTATATTTTAATCCCTAGAGCTACCATGAAAAACAGTAAGGCAAAGATTTATATCTAATAAGTCATAGAACAATTGAATACTAAAAATATTTGGTAAACACGAAAGAAGGCAAGAAAAGAAAAATAGAGAAATAAAAAACAAATATGATGAATAGAAAATAAATAGCAAAATGGTATTCCTAATTCTGACCAAAAATTATATTAAATGTAAATGTACCAGTCTAATAAATCAGAGATTGTCAGATTGGATAAAAGAACAAGACCCAACTATATGCTATCTAGAAGAGATGCTGTTTGTTTGTTTGTTTAGTACAGATGAGGTTTCATTATGTTGCTTAGACTGGTCTCAAACTCCTGGCTTCCCAAAGTGCTAGGATTACAGGCGTGAGCCACCATGCCCAACCAGAGACGCACTCTAAATACAAAGATACAAATAGGTTGACATCAAAAGATATATACCATACAAATATTAATGGGAAGCATGTGAAAGCTAGAATTGTTACGTAATTGCACATGGCAAGTCCATCTAGGCAGAATCATATGAGGTGGCATAAAACAAATATCAAAAGATTGAAATAATACAGAACATGTTCTTTGTCAGAGGGAATTAAATTAGAAACCAATAACACATCAAACTTTGCAGACCTGAGGCACAGTCTGTGTTAGAGGGAAATATATACCTATAAATATTTATATAAGAAAAGAAGAAAAGCTTAAAATTAATCATCTGAGTTTCCACCTCAAGAAGCTAGGTAAAGAAGAACAATTAGACACAAACTGAGAAGAAAAGGAAAAAATTAATTAAAGATGTAAGCTAAAACCAGAGGAATAGAAGACAGATAAACAGTACACAAAATGAACAAAGACAAAAGTTGATTCTTTGAAAATATTAATAAAATCCATAAATTCCTACTCAGGTTGACTGATTGGGAAACAAGAGAAATAGCAGAAGAGAAAAAAATTTCCGCTATCAGGGATGAAAGAGAAGATATCTTTATAGGTCCTACAAATATCAAAGACTAAAAAGGAAATACTTCGAACAACTTTATGCCACTTAATTTTACAACTTTGATGAAATGGACACATTCTTTGAAAACACTTATCAAAATTCACACAGGATGAAACAGAATATCTAAATATAGCCCTATATCTATATAGGGCTATATCTATCAAAGAGATTTAATTTATTATTATTAATATCTTCACACAAAAGGATAGTCTTTTCAACACATAGCACCGAAACATTTGTACATTTGTATGTCAAAAGCTAAACCTTCACCTTTATTCCGCCCCCTCAATATACAAAAACTATGGCACCGAAACATTTGTACATTTGTATGTCAAAAGTTAAACCTTCACCTTTATTCCGCCCCCTCAATATACAAAAACTAACTCAATATAAGACCTAAATATAAGAAATAAAACATGGGAGAATATTTTTGTGACCTTGGTTTAAGTAAAGATTTCTTATAGGAAACGTACAAAAAAAATGAACAAAAAAATTGGCAAATTGAACTTCATCAAAATTTAAAATGTCTGCACTTCAAAAGATACTCTACAAAAATAAAAAAAGATAAGCCAGAGACGAAAAGAATATGTTTGCAAAGCACTTATCTTATAAAGGACTTGTACCCAGAGTATTCAGTCTTACCACTTCTTTTGAACATTATCCTAGAAGCCTAATGCAACAAAATAAAAGCCATAAGTATTAGAAAGCAAGAAGTAAAATTGATCTACTGGAAGACACATGATTTTTCACATAAAGTTATAAAGGTTCAACAAAAAATCTAAAGTAATAAGTGAGTTTAGTAAGGTTTCAGGACACAAAGTAAATAAAGAAAAACTTTTATGTGTATATAATAGCAGGAAACAGTAGGAAAATGAAAATTTTTAAAAAACAGTTATATTCACAGTAGTGTCAAGTGTAAAATATTTAGGAATAAGTTTTTCAAAACTTGCGTAAGGGCCGGTCGAGGTGGCTCACGCCTATAATCCTAGCACTCTGGGAGGCCAAGGTAGGTGGATCGCTCAAGGTCGGGAGTTCAAAACCAGCCTGAGCAAGAGTGAGACCCCGTCTCTACTATAAATAGAAAGAAGTTAATTGGCCAACTAATATACATAGAAAAAATTAGCTGGGCATGGTGGCGCATGCTACTTGGGAGGCTGAGGCAGAAGGATTGCTTCAACCCAGGAGTTTGAAGTTGCCGTGAGCTAGGCTGATGCCACGGCACTCTAGCCAGGGCAACAGAGCAAGACTCTGTCTTAAAAAAATACAAAACCTGTAAGAGTTCTATAATGAAAACTATAAAACATGGTGAGCGAAATTAAAGAAGACTTAAATAAATGGAGAAAACATATTAATAGATTGGCAGGCTCAGTATTGTCACACTGTCAATTGATGTATAGTTTCTTTCAGTTTCAATTAAAATCCAATCAAGCTTTTCTGTAGTAATTGACAAGGTGATTCTAAAATATATATTAAAATGCATATCCAAAATGTACAGCAAAAGCAACCTTTTTTTTTTTTTTGCAAAAGCAACCTTTTAAGAAAAGAAAGCTAGAAGATTTATATTACCTAACTTCAAGACAATATAAAGCTGCAGTAATTACAGTATGATATTAACAAAAATAATAGTTCAATGGAATAAAATAGAGAGTTGAGAAATAGACCTATTCATATATAGCTAGTTGATTTTCAACCAAAACATCAAGTCACTTTCAATAAAAAAAATGATAGTCTTTTCAACAAATGATGCAACAACAATTGGATATCCATATGGGGAAATATACCCTACCTCACATTATACTCCAAAATGTTTTTCAGGATGAGGCATAGAACTAAACATAAAAGCTAAAATTATAAAACTTTTAGAAGAAAACTTAGGAATATATCTTCATGACCTTGGAGTAGATAAAGATTTTTTAGGATACAACAAACAAACTTAAAAGAAAATATGGATAAATTAGACTACCACAAAATTGAAAGCTTCTGCTTATCAGGCTACACATGAAAGGAAATGAGCACACAAACCAAAAACTGAGAGACAATATTTATAAAACATATATCTGACAATGGACTTGTATACAGAATATATAACAATACATATATATTTTTAAAAATTCCTGCAAATTAATAATAAAAAGAGAAACAAGCTAATGAAAAAATGGGCAAAAGACAGGAGACACTTCACAAATGTCCCATAAGCACATAAAAAGAGTGTACAACATCATTAGTCATGAGAGAGATGCAGATTAAAACTACAAGGAGATCTGGTATAACAATAGTGAGTACCAAAAAATAAAAAAATAAAATAAAACTACAAGGAGATACAAGTACTCAGCTAGAATGGCTAAAATTTGAAAATCTAAAAGTTCCAAGTATTGATAAGGATATGGACAAGTAGAACTCTTCTAAATAATTCGTGGGTCAAAGAGGAAATCCAAAAAAATTTTTTTTAAATATCTAAAAGCTAATGAAAATACAGTGTATCAAAATTTGTGGGGTGCAGCTAGAATAATGTGGAGATGGAAATTTATAGCACTAAATATTTGCTTTAGAACAGAAACAGCAATGACAGAAATCAAAATTTAAAACACAATACCGTTTATAGTTGCTTCCCAAAAAAGAACAACCTAGGTACACATCTAACAAAATATTTGTAAATTTCTATGGTGAAAATTACAAAATGCTGAGAAAAGAAAGTAAAGATCTGGGTAAATGGAACACTATATTATGTTCATGGATTGAAAAACTCTATATAGTAAATATGTCAATTTCCCCCAGATTAATTAATAAGTTTAATGCAGTTCCTGTCAAAATCCTGGCAAGATTTTTTTGTGGAAATAGACAGTCCTATTCTGAAAATTATATAGAAAGGCAAGGGAACCAGCATAGCTAACAATTTTGAAAATGGAAAGTGGGAAGAATCACTAATGTTAAGGCTTACTATATAGCTATAGTAATCAAGGCAATTTGGTGTTGGTGGAGTAATAGAGAATCCCATAATAGGCCAACAGAAGTACACCAAATTGATTTTTGGCAACAGTGCAAAAACAGTACGATGGAGGAAGGATAATCTTTTCAACAAGTGGTGGTAGAACAATTGGACAGCATTCATAACAAAGAAAAAGAACCTAAACCTCACGCCCTATATAAAAATTAATGCAGTTGGAGCATAGATTTCAATGTAAAACATAAAACTTATTAGAAGAAAATATAGAAAAACTTCAGGACCTAGAGTTAGGCAAAGAATTACTAGATATGACACTAGAAGTACAATTTCTAATGAAAAAATAAATTAGACTTCATCAAAATTAAAAACTATTGTACTGTGAAAGACCTTGTTAAAAATACAAGCCACAGACTGGGGGGAAATATTTGCAAACCACAAATCTCCCAGAGGCCTTATATTTAGAAATGTAAACGACTCTCAAACTCAGCAATAACACAACAATCCAATTAGAAAATAAGCAAAAAATGCCAGGCGCGGTCTTTCATGCCCGCTCCAGTCATAGCACTTTGGAAGGCCAGGTTGAAAGGATCGCTTGAAGCTAGGGGTTTGAGACCATCCTGGGCAACATAGGAAGACCCCATCTCTATAAAACCATTTTTAAAAATTAGCTAGATGTGGTGGCACATACGTAGTCCCAGCTACTCGGGAGGCTGAGCCAAGGAGGATCGCTTGATCTCAGGAATTTGAGGTTACAGTGAGTTAGGATCATGCCTCTGTCCTCCAGCCTGGATGACAGAAAGACTCTGTCGAGATAGAGAGAGAGAGAGAAAGAAAGGGAGGGAGGGAGGAAGGAAGGAAATAGTCAAAAGATATGAATACATATTTCACTAAAGAGGAGTTGCAGATGGCAAATAATCACATTAAAAATATGTTCAACATCATTACCTATTGGCAAATTATAGCCACATTGGCTATCAGGTAGAGAAACTGGATCTCTCATACCTTGTTGGTGGGAATGAAAAATATTATACCTGGAAGATAATTTGGCAGTTTCTTACAAAACTAAAAATTCCTTTACCATATGACCTAAAAATTATACTCTTGGGCATTTATCTCAGAGAAATAAATTTTATGCTGACACCAAAAGTCATACGGGAATGTTCATAGCAGCTTTATTTGTATTTAATAACAGCAAAAAACCTGGAAACACCTCAGTGTCTTTCAAGGGTGAGCAGTTGAACAAACTCTGGTACATCTATACGATGGAACACTACTACACAATAAAAAGGAATGAATTATTAACATATGCGATGGCCTGCAATGGCCTGAATGGACCTTAGAAGCATTCTCTTTACTGAAAAAAGTCAAGCTCAAAAGGTTACACACTGCATGATTCCTGTTGCATAACATTCTCAAAATGACAAAACTATAGAGATGGGGAGCAGATTAGTAGTTGCCAGGGAACAGGGTTATGGTAGGAGATGGGTGAAAATACAAAGAGATAGCATAAGGGAATTATTTTAAGGTAGTAGAACGGATCAGTTTCTTGATAGTGATGGTATATAAGTATATTCTCATTCTTTGAAACACACATTTTGGCTTGTGATTATCTCAGTTTTTTTGTTTTTAGAGCAATTTTTGTGAAACCATAGATAAGTCAAAAATTCACGTTATTTTTTAATATGGTTCGTCATGGAACCAGTGAAGTGCAGATAGCTCGAAATATCAATGAAGTGTTTGGGAAGGATGTGGCTAATGAACGCACAGTATGTCAGGGGTTTGAGAAGTTCCATTATGATGATTTTAATCTTGCAAATGAGCCATGTGGGTGACCTGAGACTAAGGTGGATAATGATGAGCTAAAAGCTGTAGTGGAAGGGAGTCCATCACATCCATCTCAACTTATCGTGAATTAGCAGCAAGGTTTGACATTACTATTCCGATAATATTGGACCATTGGAAACATATCAGCAAGGTACAGAAGCTGGATAGATGAGTACCACATGAATTAAATGAGCATCAGAAGAAAACTCGTCTTGAAGCTTGCCTTTCTTTGCTGTCCCGACATAAAGGCGAACCATTTCTACACCGTATTGTTGTGTGTGATGGAAAATGGATGCTTTTTGCCAGTATTTGGCACAGTGATTAGATAAAGGTGAAGTGCCAAAACACAGTCCAAAACTGAATATTTATCAAAAAAAGCTAATGGTGTCTGGTGGTGAGAGGTGATACATTAATAAACATAGAACATATGCCATGGTATTATTATTATTATTATAACCTTAATGCTGAGTCTTATTTGTGTACTATAAGAGACTTTGAAACTATTGACTGAATTCTTCATGAGAAAACTCAATGTAGAAATTACTTACAAATATTTTTGTGTGATCTGTTGTTGTGGTAGGTTTTCTGAAATAGAATTCCTTTTTTTCTGTCAAATAAGAAATTAAAACTAATATACAATGAAAAATTAGATAATGTGATACTAGTTTGAAAATTAAATTAGGGAAAGTTGAATATAAACCAAAGTAATTAGTACAGACTGTAGGAGGGAGATGGTTTTTTGAGTTAAACTGCAAAAAATAGACTTATAGGGGGAAAAGAAGAGTGTGTATGATGAGGGAAGTAATGAGCAAAGACAGAAAGATGGAAATAAACCAAGGGTTACAGTTATATTATTACAAGGCGACATGAAAAAAAGGTCAGAATGTGGAGTCAGACAGATGTAGATTTAAACTTTAGATCACCTGCTTATTGGCTGTTTCCTTGGACCAGATGTTTCATCCCCTTGATCCAAGTGTTTTCATCTGTATATGCTATATGTGAAGTATGTGAAGTGTGCCTAGCACACAGTGACCAAACAAAAACAGTACAGAGTTTTTTATGTTGGAGGATAGAGGAATATCAACTTATTGCATAGTTAAAATAAGGCTAAGGAGAAAAATTAGAATTCAGGCATTTTTCTCTCTTTTATGAGTTTTTACAAAGCCCATGACCTGTATTTTTTCTTAACACTTGTTGGATGCATGGGGATTCCTTATACCATTCTGTTTCTTTTGTATAGATTTGAATTTCTTAATGATAAAACATTTCTTTAATTCTATTAATAATTTATGTTTTTAAATTTGAAATCAAAGACATGTGTCATTAAGCTTGCCTAGTAAGGGGGCAGGGTGGTAAAAAAAAAAAAAAACAGCTTGCCTAGTGAAGAGGGATTCTCAAGATAATTCCTATCATGTGATTTTGGGAAAATTATACAATGAATTTTTTGGCCTTTGGTCTTCATTAGTGAAAAAGATGTAATATCTCTTCTTCACAAGGTATATATAAAGATCAAATAAGATAGTGTGACAAAAGTTTTATAAAATTGTAATGCTGTACAAATGTCAGTTAATATGCTTATAATTAGATGGGTCCTGAAAATGTAAAAAATTGTAGAATAATTACTTAAGGCAAAAATAATGGGTCAAAACTGTCATTTGCTATAAGCATTTTGAACAGTAACATAGCTATAATAAATAGTCTTATAATCTGTATATATGGATATTTTATTGCTAATAAATAAATTTTAATGAATGATAAATTCTTGAAAAACTGTGTCCTACTTTAAAGGACACAGTAATTCTTACAGCAGTAAATCCTTCTATATTCTAACATCTTCTTAATATAAGTATTAATTTCCAAGCAAACAAATATAGTAACACATAATTGATATGTTTTATGTTCTGTTTTTCTTGCTTCAGGTCAATGAATACATTTTTGATAATTTATCTAATAATTCTAGTATCTGAAGCCATCATCAGTACTATCTTGAAATATACATGGCAAGCTGAAGAAAAATGGGATGAACCTTGGTATAACCAAAAAACAGAACATCAAAGAAATAGTAGTAAGGTATTTTATGGTGTTCTTGACTCTGTTGCAAAGGAAACTTTATTCTTCAACATAGTTGATGCTTTGGTAGTGACTTCTGATAGGAGGGACCACCGTGATCTCCTAAAACCATTAGTACTGAATGAGGATAAAATGGTATTGCAAATAAAGAGAAACTCATGTGTTTGTACTGGTATATTTTTTGCAATTTAGGGCGTAGGCAGTTGTAGTCCCTATGGCATGACTTGACTAGTTCCAAGAGGTCACAAAATTTTGAATCTGTCTATAATTGCATTCCAACTCAATACTACAAATTCAGTTTCCTATTCCATTTACTATATCTTATCATAAACAAATTAAAGAGTAAGTTGACTTATTTATAATTTTGTCTGAATATTTCAAGGAGTCTTATTGTCAGTCGTGATGATATTAAATAATACACAAATTATGTCCATATAGGGTTTTAAACTGATTAAACATGGACTACCAAGAGAATTTAACCTACAATTTTGGTAAATAATTGCTCTCCAGATTTCACTTTGAATTAACATATACATAATGGGCCGGGTGCGGTGGCTCACACCTGTAATCCTAGAACTCTGGGAGGCCGAGGGTGGGCGGATTGCTCGAGGTCAGGAGTTCGAAACCAGCCTGAGCAAGAGCGAGACCCCGTCTCTACTATAAATAGAAAGAAATTAATTGGCCAATATATATATATAGAAAAAATTAGCCGGGCATGGTGGCGCATGCCTGTAGTCCCAGCTACTTGGGAGGCTGAGGCAGCAGGATTGCTTGAGCCCAGGAGTTTGAGGTTGCTGTGAGCTAGGCTGACGCCATGGCACTCACTCTAGCCTGGGCAACAAAGCGAGACTCTGTCTCAAAAAAAAAAAATAAATAAATAAAATAAAATATACATAATGGAAGATAAATTTTGATCTCAAGAAACCACAAAACAGATAATCACAGGGTCATATTTTCAATATTATTCACAATTAAGTACATTGCCTTTCACAGAATGTATGTTGAAATGTGGTGCTGCTAAGCCATTGAAGTAGGCTATTTCTTTATATTCTGTATTTAAAAAGTTTTATTTCTTGCGGTTATAGCCTAGTAATTATTTGATTATTTGTTCTTGCACTCAATTTTTAGTTATTTATGATTGTGAAGGGTAGAAGTAGAATGGATAAATGCGCTCCAAAAATTACAATTTTGCCAAAGGTAGTTTCAGTCTCACCAGGCTTTTTGTTAGCTTCTGAAAAGTAACAATTAACTAATTTGAATTTAACCTTTTTTTCTTTTACTTTGATCAAGATTCTAATGAGCAATAAAATAACCAGACGGAATGTAGTGTTAAATGACAATTCAGTAAATGAATTTTAATTTGTGAAACTGTCCTACCTCAAAATATAGTTGATGGTCTATTTAGGCATGAAACTTTCTGATATTTTTTTTCAGTGATACTGAAGAAATTCTCATGTATTTTCTCTTATCAAACAATTATTTCTTTTTTCCTAGATTCTGAGGTTTATTTCAGACTTCCTTGCTTTTTTAGTACTCTACAATTTCATCATTCCAATTTCATTATACGTGACAGTTGAAATGCAGAAATTTCTTGGATCATTCTTTATTGGCTGGGATCTTGATTTATATCATGAGGAATCAGATCAGAAAGCTCAAGTCAATACTTCCGATCTGAATGAAGAGCTTGGACAGGTGAAAACGATCCTAATATTTTGTTTTTCTAATTTGTTATTTTTATCAAAACAATACAGAACAGAGAATATTATAGAGCTTATACCAAAAAATAACCCTAGTTTCCTTCACTCCTAATCTTGTTTTTGATTCTCAAATCTTGTTTCTTGTGTTATTTACCACTATTTTTATGTATGGTATTCTTTCTTGATTCTTAAATTTAGACATTATCTACTAGAAAATAGAAACATATGACTCTTACACTACTACTCCTACCCACATACCCAGATAACACGTGCCCACTTTTTGCTTCTTCATAGCCCCCTAATATTGTTATGTCACAATTTGAGATTTAATAAATATTTATTTATTGACATTATTATGGCTTTTTAAATATTGTCCACTAATTCCCACTTCTATATATGTGCCCTGTAATGCCATAATTACATTTATTTATATATTTTGTTTTCCCTAGAGTTAATTGCTGTTTTTCATTTGCTTAATTTCCACATACCACAAACAAGTCCCTGACAAATATATGAGACATCTCTCTACATACTCAAACACATCAGGTAATCTAGGATTTCCTTTTTTCTTTCCCTCCTCCCCTCCCCATTTTATTTTTTGGTGCCAGCTTTTTTGGAACCTTTTATCCTTCTGTTCCAATTGGATTTACTCTCTCTGGGCCTTTTCTCAGCTGTCGCTTGGACTTCTGTTTACCATCACTCTGGAAATGTCTTTTCCTCTCCTATTTTAGATCTCATTTCCTGCATCCCAAGTCTTTCTACCTGTGGCTTATTTTCTTATTTTAATGTAGCATATCTTCTAATAACTTCCCCCAAAAAGGTATATGAGAGGAAAGTATTTTGAAATTTCGCATATCCAAAAATACCTTTAGGGCCGGGCGCGGTGGCTCACGCTTGTAATCCTAGCTCTTGGGAGGCCGAGGCGGGCGGATTGCTCAAGGTCAGGAGTTCAAAACCAGCCTGAGCAAGAGCGAGACCCGTGCTCTTAATGAAAGTAATATTGGCAACGATATATTATTATATAAAATAGCCGGGCATGGTGGCGCATGCCTGTAGTCCCAGCTACTCGGGAGGCTGAGGCAAAGGATGCTGAGCCCAGGAGTTTGAGGTTGCTGTGAGCTAGGCTGACGCCATGGCACTCACCCTAGCCTGGGCAACAAAGGAGACTCTGTCGTCAAAAAAAAAAAAAAAAAGAACAAAAATACCTTTAGTCTCTGTACCCTTGATAATAATTTTTTCTGGGTATTGCATTCCAGATTGGAAACCATTTTTCTTCAGAATTTTGAAGGCATTTCTTTATTGTTTTTTAGCTTTCAGTATTGTCAAGAAATCCAGTACCAATCTGATTCCCAATTCTTTATGTGTGATCTACTGTTTTTTCTCAGAAGCTTGTAGGAGCTCCTCTTTATGCAATAGTTCTGAAATTTCATGATGATGTACCTTGGTGTGAGTTTTTATTTTTTCATTGGCCAGTTAACTCTGAACTCTTTCAGTATAGAAACACATGTATTTCAATTCTAGAAAATTTTGGTGTATTATTTCTTGGATAACATGTCTTTCTATTTTTTTTTAAACTTGCTATGTAGATATCAGACTACTTATATTGATCCTTTAATTCTCTTACTTCAACTTTCAGTTTTTATTTGTTTGCTTTTATATTCTACTTTCTGGGAAAATTTAACAATTTTTAATTTCTTTTATTTCTGCTGTAATATTTTTAATTTCTAGTATTGCAGTACTCTCTGAACAGTCTCTTTTTAATTGCCTCTTATTCCTGTTTCTTCAATGTAATCTATTCTTTTACCTCTCTAATGATATTAATGACAATTTATTTAAAGTCTTTTTCTGTTCTCTGCATTATCTTTGTTTGCTCCTAGTTCTTTTTTCAGAACAGTCAGTTCTGCTATGATATCACATATTCATTCCTAAAAATCACTGTGCTGTGCAAATTGCTTAGTAAAAACCACAGGAATTATGGGAGATGGAATTACAGGTATAACACAAAAACTTCTTCAATAACACATTAAAAAAATATAGGAACATAGGCTGGGCGCGGTGGCTCACACCTATAATCCTAGCACTCTGAAAGGCTGAGGTGGGTGGATCACTCAAGGTCAGGAGTTTGAAACCAGCAAGAGTGAGACCCCATCTCTACTATAAATAGAAAGAAATTAATTGGCCAACTAAAAATATATATAGAAAAAAAAATTAACTGAACATGTTGGCGCATGCCTGTCGTCCCAGCTACTTGGGAGGCTGAGGCAGATTGCTTGGTGGATTGCTTGAGCCCAGGAGTTTAAGGTTGCTGTGAGCTAGGCTGATGCCACGGCACTCTAGCTAGGGCAACAGAGTAAGACTCTGTCTCAAAAAAAAAAAAAAATATATATATATATATAAATATATATATGAACTTAATAAAAACAGCACTTACTAAATTGTTACAAAATACATAAATACTACAGTAAATATGGCACTTACCTTGAAAAGACCTGAAGTTTGCTTGTGGAAGGTAGGCATCAAAGGGTTTCAGCGTATGTGTTATTGTGAAATGTTGGGAAAGTTATCTGATATCAGAAGGAAAATTATAATACCAGATGTGGATGAGTGTGGCTCACATGAACTGAGAAGTAGCTAGGAGCTGTTTGAGGTTTGTGCATTTTGTGTATTTTTACACAGCTTATGTGCAATTCACTTAGCATTTCTTGCAGACAAAATTATGCATAATGAAATGCAAAGTTTGCATTATGCTAAAATTGTTCCCTTATATATTAATAGCAGTTACATTAGAATAAATTTATGTTTTCAAGACAGTGTTATAGCAGAACTGATTGTAATTGGTTTTAGACTCTATCTTTCATGTAAGGAGTGATTCTTAAATGAATACTAATCTTTGGCTATCCTTTCAAGTTTAAAAGTGAGGTGCTAAAATGCTTATTAGGAGCTGTTGATTCACTGGGCCCCACCTTAAGGTAATGGGCTGTGACAGGCCCAGATGTTTTGGGGGGATATTCCCTAAACATTATCTATTGGTCTTTCCTTGGTTTCCCAAGAGAGAAATACTATAGGTATTATTTCTGCTGCTTTTGATTGCTAGCGTTGGCCAGTGGACATCTCTGTTTTTAGTGTTTGCCCTTACTTCTGTTTTTAGCTATTTGCCCAGTCCGTGTTCTCTCTGGTTCAGCTTCCTCAGGAATAAACCTTCTAGCTGTTACTCCAGTGGCTGAGGGGCATTCTCAACTTTGCGAGTTATTAAGGAATTTCAAGATTTAAACTGCTCCTGATACCTCCTATTTTTAGCCCAATCCTGTACTCCTACATTCAGTAATTGTTGTGTCTACTTCTGAGAGTTTCTGGTAGTGGGCTTCTCCATTGTTATATTTCAGATTCTAAGCTCTGGTGAATCAGTCAGTTACCACTTATTCATCTTTCCATCTTCCAAACTTGTGTCAAATCTCCCTTCTTATGTTGTCTTTTTTACCATTATTTTTGGGGTTTTTTTATTTCTTTGTTCTCATTATGATGAAGTTTTAAGAGGAGCAGAGATAATTGCATGAGCTCAACCTGCCATGTTTAACTAGAAGTTGATCTATGTATTTTTAGTAGCATTTAGGAGGCTTTAAAATTTATGCTAAATATAAATTTATGTCACATTTCTTTAAGCATAGCTCATTTTTACTTCTCTGAACAAATTTTTTTTCCAGTGCGCCTTTGGATTTTGTCAAATGCTTTCTCTGTTTATCAAGATGGTTATTTTATTACTAGAATAAAGGAAAAGTACCATTTTATTAATATGATGGATTGCATTGATTTTTTTTTTTTTTTTTTTTTGAGACAGAGTCTCACTTTGTTGCCCAGGCTAGAGTGAGTGCTGTGGCGTCAGCCTAGCTCACAGCAACCTCAAACTCCTGGGCTCAGCAATCCTACTGCCTCAGCCTCCCGAGTAGCTGGGACTACAGGCATGCGCCACCATGCCCGGCTAATTTTTTGTATATATATATTTTTAGTTGGTCAATTAATTTCTTTCTGTTTTTGGTAGAGACAGGGTCTCGCTCAGGCTGGTTTCGAACTCCTGACCTTGAGCAATCCGCCCGCCTCAGCCTCCCAGAGTGCTAGGATTACAGGCGTGAGCCACTGCGCCCGGCTGATTTTTTTATGTTGAATTAATCTTGCATTCCTGGAATAAGTCCCATATATTCATGGAATATCATCCTTTTTATGTTTTGGGGTTGCATCTATATTTATAAGGGATAGTGGCCTGTAGTTTGTTTCCTTGTGATATCTACCTCCCTTTTTAAAAGACTTCTTTCAAGTCATACTTGCAGTAATCACATCTTCTCTATAATCTTGGTTGGATCAAGACTTGGCTGTTACATCCTTCTCTTCATGGACATATCTTCTTTTAAAGTAAATTTCTGTAATTAGTCTCCAAAAGTAATAAAATAATTTGTCTTATCTACTTTTAAAAATTTTTTTTTATTTATAACATTCATTCTTTCCACCAAATTTGTTTCCCGCCCTCAGTTTCAACTTCCTTTGTCTATTTTAGACAACTTCTTATGTTGCTATCATTTTGTGTTCCTATTCCCAGCTCTGTACCATTTCTCCTGGCCCAGATACCCTTTCGCATTCTAGGTTATTATTAAGCATCCCTTCTTTCATCCCATTGTTTCAAAGATAATCCTTGAGTACTACTACTTAAAAACACCTTAGCCAAGAGATTGAGAAAAAGTACTAATACCACATTCTCAGTTACCTCTACAGATGAACATGTATTACTCATCTTTATTATCTAATTGTGGTTGGAGTGCAAGAATGTCGGCATTGGTATGTCAATGTTAATAGGTAAACTTGGTATTAGGTGACAGAGGGCAAGGAATTTTTTTCTCTCTCTTTTTTTTTGTTTTGGTTAACATAGGACCATGAATAAATACAAACGTTTATTTTCTTTTGTTTTCTCTCTCTGTCTAGGTGGAATATGTGTTTACAGATAAAACTGGAACACTGACAGAAAATGAAATGCAGTTTCGGGAATGCTCAATTAATGGCATGAAATACCAAGAAATCAATGGTAGACTTGTACCCGAAGGACCAACACCAGACTCTTCAGAAGGAGACTTAACTTATCTTAGTAGTTTATCCCATCTTAACAACTTATCCCATCTTACGGGTTCCTCTTTTAGAACTAGCCCTGAAAACGAAACTGAACTAGTAAGCAATTTTTAAATTAATAAATAAGGGCTTCACATGAAATAATTCTCTTCTGTAGTTGATGAGTTGTATGAAAAAAAAAGTTTTAAGTGTCAACAGAGCAAGGAATATATATTTCAAAGTATATCTTTGATTCAAGGCTACAAAATATCCTAAAAATTTATAGTTACAGCTCAATTTAACTTGTTATTTAATGGGTGTCTGCCTTAGCTCTGTGAGCATACAAATGGAACTGAGTTAAGAAAAGCCCTTACTGCCTTGAAGTAAAGAAGACTTTATTGAAAAATAGAGCTTAAATATACTTAATATTTTTTGAGACCTCACTACTATCACAAAAGCATATTCCCCTTTATTTGCAATTTGGTTATGCCTCCTAAAAGATGCTCATATGTTGAGTGGTCCTAAGCAAATGTGATATTTTACTTTTTAAACTCAAAAGCAACCAGCTGTTATTCAGGGAATCAAGATTGTACCACTCTCACTGATTTCCTAAGTGAGATTTCAAAATGGTATTTTTATCATGAATATTAATTGTGTCCCTACAGATTAAAGAACATGATCTCTTCTTTAAAGCAGTCAGTCTCTGTCACACTGTACAGATTAGCAATGTTCAGAGTGAATGCATTGGTGATGGTCCCTGGCAGTCCAACCTGGCACCCTCCCAGTTGGAATACTATGCATCTTCACCAGATGAAAAAGCTCTAGTAGAAGCTGCTGCAAGGTAATTTAGCCTAATTTCCAAATCTTTAGAAAATCTCTTTTAAATAAATGTTAGAATATTAGAGAATCATCATTTAAAGTTTTCAAACGTAAGTTCATCATCTTAAGTTGTCAAAATTCATATAAACACATAAAACAGAAGTGTATTTTAAATTAAATTTTAAATGAAAATTTGAAGTATATCACTAATTTTGTTACCAAACTTGCATTGAGCCATATTTTTTAAGGTCTCTTTACAAATCTGATTACTATGAAATCTGTGTAATATAATTTGTGAGAAATACTTGTGTTTATATTGTACTGAACCTGCTCTGATCTTTCAAATTCTTAAAAGTAATGATGTATTTTTCAAAGGCAATACTTTTGAATACATTTTGAACTTTTATTTTAGAAGTTTTTTTCTCAAGCTAAACTATAATGACATTGTGAAATGTGAAATATCATTTCTTAAGTCTTACCTTTCTTTGTCCTTTTAATCCCTAGAATTGGCATTGTATTTATTGGCAATTCTGAAGAAACTATGGAAATTAAAACACTTGGAAAACTGGAACGGTAATTTTTTTCATATATTCTAAAGTTGTTTATAAGTATATAGTATCAAATAGGGATCAGTAAACTATGGCCCATGAGCCAAGCTCTGTCTCCCAAGCTGAAGTGCAGTGACATTGATTATACCTCACTACAACCTCCAACTCTTGGCTCAAGCGATCCTCTTTCCGTAGCCTCCTGAGTAGCTAGGACTAAAGGTGTGTACCACCACACCTTGCTAATTTTTAAATTTTTTGTAGAGATGGGGTCTCACTATGTTGCCCACGCTGGTCTCAAACTCCTTGGCTCAAGCAGTCATTCTGCCTCTGCCTCCCAACATGCTGGGATTAGAGGTGTGAGTCACCGTGCCTAGCCATATTGTATTTTTAAAGGATTGTTTTTTTAAAAAATTAAAGAATATGCAACAGAGACCATGTATGGCCTGCAAAGCCTGAAATTTTTTTTTTTTTTTTTTTGAGACGGAGTCTCGCTTTGTTGCCCAGGCTAGAGTGAGTGCCATGGCGTCAGCCTAGCTCACAGCAACCTCAAACTCCTGGGCTCAAGCAATCCTGCTGCCTCAGCCTCCTGAGTAGCTGGGACTACAGGCATGCGCCACCATGCCCGGCTAACTTTTTCTATATATATTAGTTGGCCAATTAATTTCTTTCTATTTATAGTAGAGACAGGGTCTTGCTCTTGCTCAGGCTGGTTTCGAACTCCTGACCTCGAGCAATCTGCCCGCCTTGGCCTCCCAGAGTGCTAGGATTACAGGCATGAGCCACCTCACCCAGCCAAAGCCTGAAATATTAATAGCCAGCCCATCACAGAAAAAAGTTTACTGATTTCTGTTCTAGGATGATCCCAATATTACCTTTTATCTTATCACAGTTATAACAATATTCTACTCTGAATCTTGTATTTGTATGTTAGCTTACTGCTTCTTGAATTTAGTTATATGTTTATTTTTAGACATTCCTAGGGTAATGGGTTTCATAAGTCTCTACTCACTGAATAAAAAAAAAACTTTCCTTGTATTTCCTATGATTTTATTTTCAAACATTAAGGAACAGCTGTTTATTTTCAATATATTTCCACTTTTTGATAAATGAATTAATCTACACTTATGCTTAAACCATTCAGGTATTATCAATTCTGATTATATCTCAATTCAAACTGTGCTTTTCTATACTAAATATGGTCCATTCTTTCACTACTTTTATGTGGGAGCCTGTCTAGCTCATTTTATCAACTTATAAAAGCAGTCATTCAACTCATTATTTTCCTTTCAGATGTGCAAAAGCGTTTCATATGTACATCATTGTGTAAGATTCATCTGGAAGACTTTTTAAGCCACACCTTGCCTGTCCACACAGATTCTTTCACAGCTCCCTGGAAAGGTTTTTGTCACTCCCCTCCCCTACATAGGGGCACACACCCAGGTTCAGAATCACTACTGTAATGACCCTGTGATACTAATGTGAATATGTTGTATTTGTCAGGTTTAATAGGACCTAAAAAAGGGGTTGAAAATCAATCACCCTTTTTAGTCAGAAAACATGAAGCTAGGAAGCAGATCTCGATTCTAGTTCTTGCTCTGCCATTTACAAACTTATTTGACTTTAGCCAAATTACTTAATCTTTCTGAGTTTAATAGTCCCCATCTATAAAAATGAGTTAAGACCTACTTACTTGAATTCTCATGAGTATTAAATGACATAAGGTATGTAAAGCACGTGGCATTTGCTAAGTACTCAATGTCAGTTCTTTCTATTTCTATCCTGTTTTGTTATTAATAATTCACAACCCATCATCATGAAAATGTAGTTGAGATTAATTTTGTGTTATAAGTTAGCTATTTTATCTTTTATAGAGATTCTTTCCATATATTTGCTTAATATTACTCAAAAAAGTAAAGTTTTTATGTCTCTTATTTTTTTTAGATACAAACTACTTCATATTCTGGAATTTGATTCAGATCGTAGGAGAATGAGTGTAATTGTTCAGGCACCTTCAGGTAACCAGTCTAAACTTTCATTAATTTTTATTTACCTAATATTAAGAGCCTAATAACTGACTTTTTCTTTTTAGGTGAGAAGTTTTTATTTGCTAAAGGAGCTGAATCATCAATTCTTCCTAAATGTATAGGTGGAGAAATAGAAAAAACCCGAATTCATGTAGATGAATTTGCTTTGGTGAGTGCAAATTTCTATGATTTAAAAAACTCTAAAAAATATATTTATCAAAGATTTGGCAATTCATTTTTTTAATAATTTACCAAAAATTATGGAAATTCTGCAGTTCTGTTACATTATTTGTTGGCTGCACATTCTTTCTGTAAAAACCGACTTTTAACTTCCTAAAGTGTAAGTCTTCTCTTCAAAACTATTACAGTCATGGCACTTCTAGTTGCAAGCACCACTCAAATTGCACTACTACAAAAGGGTGTTTATAAAAAAAATGTAGGGGAATTCTAATGATATGGAGAAACTAGAACTCTCATTCATACCTTGCTGGTGGGATTATAAATGGCACAACCACTTTGAAAAACTGTTTGACGGTTCCTCAAAAGGTAAACATAGAGTTTACTATATGACCCAGCAAATCTACTCCTAGGTATACATGAAGAGAATTGAAAACATGTGTCCACACAAAAACTTGTACATAATGTTCATAAGCAGCATTATTTCTAATAGCCAGAAAATGGGAAAATCCTAATGGCAACTGATGAATGGATAGACAAACTGTGGTTTATCCATATAATGGGATATTATTTGGCTATTAAAAGTAATGAAGTACTGATAAATCCTACAACATGGATGAATCTTGAAAAGATTATGCTGAGTGAAAGAAGCCAGTCACAAAAGACCACATATTACATTTATATGAAATATCCAGAATAGGCAGATTCATAGAGAAAGCAGATTAGTGGTTGCCAGGGGCTGGAGAAAGCAGGGAAGGGGGATGATTTGTACTCTCTAAAGTACCACTGATTTGTACTCTCTAAAGGGGTGAATGTTAGGATATGTGGATTATATCTCTCTTATTTAGAATATGAAAAAATACAGGAGAATCTTACAAAAATAAAGAACCACAATTCATGTGATAGCAGAATTATTAAGCAGCTCTCTCTCAGTCTTAGAACCTCACGAGCCTCCTTTTTGTATTTCTATAAATTTATGCTCCGTACTCATCTGTGCTCACCTGTCTCCTGTACTAGTTTATGATTTCATTTTTCCCATTATGGGTTTCCTAATTGTTTATGATCTAGTTCCTCTACCACACTGTAACATCCATAAGAACAAAGACATTATTCTACCTTAAAACCATTTTATATCTAGAACAATGCTGGCACATAGCTGGTGCTCAATAATTATTTGTTGTAGGATGAATTCATTCATATATAAATAATTTATCGTCACTTAACTGTTATTTAAGAGAAATATTTATAGATATAAGTCCTTTATAAACCAAGGAATGCCAGTATTTAGAAATATGCCAAGTAGTGTCATATAGTATTTTAAAATCTACTCTTTCCAAGTTCTTTTTTTTTTTTTTTTTTTTTTGAGACAGTCTTGCTTTGTTGCCCAGGCTAGGGTGAGTGCCATGGCATCAGCCTAGCTCAAAGCAACCTCAAACTCCTGGGCTCAAGCTATCATCCTGCCTCAGCCTCCCGAGTTGCTGGGACTACAGGCATGCACCACCATGCCCAGCTAACTTTTTCTCTATATATTAGTTGGCCAATTAGTTTCTTTCTATTTATAGTAGAGACGAGGTCTCGCTGTTGCCCAGGCTGGTTTCGAACTCCCGACCTCGAGCAATCCGCCCGCCTCGGCCTCCCAGAGAGCTAGGATTACAGGCGTGAGCCACCGGGCGCCCAGCCTCCAAGTTCTGTTATTAGAATGTTTATTATGAGTTTTTCTGAGGAAAATGTATAGAAAGAAAAGGAACTTTTGTAAATCTTAGAATTTAGATATAAACTTTCAGAGATTAATGTCATAAGAAAACTTTGAGCCCTATAGAATCTGATGATCAATTCTGATTCCAATTTATTATTGAAGATATAATGATATTTAAAATCATTCGTTTGTTAAATCTAGAAAGTACTGTTTGTTTGATAATATCCATTTTATAGACTTCTTTATTTGAATGGCAGATTTTGTCATACAGTTAGTTCTCAGGAAATTATGTTCTCCTTTGCTTTTTTAAAAGAAAATAAACCTTACAAAATAGGTAAAAGCAGATTTGCAACAGGAAAGTAGAACCTGGGGCTGCCTCTCTCTTAACAATTCTAAAGGTATCCTTATAGGACTTTCTGGCTTTCCATGTAACACAGTTTTAAAACCACAAATAAGATAGTCTTTATAATCCTTTCTAGGCTCTAATATTCTATAATTCAGTGACCTTAATTATTTTTAAGAACTCATCAGAAATTGAAAATGCTATGATAATGTGTCCCATAATTCAGATAACTAGGGCTTTGTGACATTTCATTTATTTCCTATCACTAGATGATAGTACTTTTTAAGTGGTTTGTAATTAATTTTTGGTAATGGGTCCTCAGTTTACTTCAATGAGTTCTTAATTTTCCATTAGTCATTTGTGTTCAATTTTTTCTTTTTTTCTATATATTTTTTTGTCTTAGAAAGGGCTAAGAACTCTATGTATAGCCTATAGACAGTTTACATCTAAAGAGTATGAGGCAATAGATAGACGCCTATTTGAAGCCAGGACTGCCTTGCAGCAACGGGAAGAAAAATTGGCAGACACCTTCCAGTTCATAGAGAAAGACCTGATATTACTTGGAGCTACAGCAGTGGAAGACAGGTAAGCATCAGATAAGTAAGTGGTATCATTTTTCTCTCTTAAGAATTTTTCTAACCAAGTGTTTCTAATATATGACATAAATTCTACTTATTAACATCCTATAACTTAATATAGTTAAAGTCAAAATAGAGAATTAAAACCTTAATTTTTCCCAGTTAACCTATATAAATTTTGGTCTAGCTAGAGATCTGAAATAGATGTTAAGAATCAGCTATCTATAGTTTTCCCCATAAGTTTAGATTTTTAGAATACTCCTCAGTGGTCATGCAAAGACTTTAAAAACCTGCTTAATTCTCCAGCCTCAGCTCCCACCATTGTCCCCTTCTATTTTATGTTTCATTAATACCAAACTGTAGTTTTCTTTTGCACCCTAACCATAGTTAAAACGATTCTATTTTGTGCCTTTGTTCCTTGGGAAGGCTGTGCCTTCTGCCTGGATGATTCTTCCCTTCCCTATCCATCTGTGAATACCTATTCATAAAGTATAGCTCAAATATTAGCCCCACTCCAGTAAGACTTCGTGGCATGTAACAAGATTAAAAATTCTCTTCTTGGCCAGGCACGGTGGCTCACTCCTGTAATCCTAACACTCTGGGAGGCCAAGGCAGGCAGATTGCTCGAGATCAGGAGTTAAAACCAGCCTGAGCAAGAGCGAGACCCCGTCTCTACTATAAATAGAAAGAAATTAATTGGCCAACATACATATATATATATATAAAATTAGCCGGGCATGGTGGTGTGCGCCTGTAGTCCCAGCTACTCAGGAGGCTGAGGCAGGAGGATTGCTTGAGCCCAGGAGTTTGAGGTTGCTGTGAGCTTTGCTGACGCCATGGCACTCACTCTAGCCTGGGCAACAAAGCGAGACTGTCTCACTCAAAAAAAAAATTTCTCTTCTTTGTGAAGTCTGATTATAGGTAGTTTTATTGCAGTCCTTGTGGCACTATATTATAATCATGTTTAAAAACTTTCTCCTCTGTTGGCCTATGAATTCCTTGAAGTTCTTTTATGCTGCATGTCTGCTCCCCAGCACCTCTACACCATAGACATAAGATTGTATGCATGTTTGTTTAATTTAGGCTTTCATTTACTTTTCATGACATTACTTGTCCTCATGAAATTTCTGAGGCTTACCTGAAGTTATGTAGTCCATTATTTTCCATGGTCTGATTTTTTAAATTATATGAGTGATTTGAGAGATTTTCTTAATAAAACAAAAAGAGAAAACTCTTCTTTTTCTTCTTCCTTTTTTTTTTTTGTTTTTTTGGTTTTCTTTTTGAGTCAAAGTCTTGCTCTGTCACCCGGGTTGGCATACAGTGGCACAGTCATAGCTCACTGCACCCTTGAACCCATGGCCTTAAGCAATCCTCCAGCCTCAGTCTCCTGAGTAGCTAGGACCACAGGCACATACCAATAGGCCCCGCTAATTTTTTTTTATTTTTTGTAGAGACAACGGTCTCACTGTGTTGCCTAGGCTGATCTCGAACTTCTGGCCTCAAGTAGTCCTCCCTCCGTGGCCTCTTAGAGTTCTGGGATTATAGGAGTGAGCCATTGCTTCTAGCTGAAAAATCATCTTCTGATTTGAAATTTAAGACTTCCCAATAAAATAGGAGTTTATGAAGACTACATAGTTTAATCCTATAAAAATCAACTTTGAAGATATACTCTTAAAATAGAAAGTTACAGATTTTAGTTAGTTGATTTTCTGTTAACCAGATGATCACTAATTTGTTTATTTTTATTTATTTCCTAATGGGAAAAAATTTCAGTTATATTTCTATATACACATTCCTAATTCAAGGATTTAAAAATTTACGTTTTATATGCTATGTGGTTTATACTTAATATACAGTCAGAAAAGTATTCTCTTTTTTAAAATTTTATTTATTTATTTATGAATGAATGAATGAATGAGAGAGACAGGGTCTTGCTCTGTCGCCCAGTCTGGAGAACAGTGATATGATCATAGCTCACTATAACATCAAACTGCAGGACTCAAGCAATCCTCCCATCTCACCCCTCCTAGTAGCTGGGACTACAGACACAAACCACCATGCACAGCAGAAAAGTATTCTCTACTTTTAATTTGTTTCTTTTATTTTCAGACTACAAGATAAAGTTCGAGAAACTATTGAAGCTTTGAGAATGGCTGGTATCAAAGTATGGGTACTTACTGGAGATAAACATGAAACAGCTGTTAGTGTGAGTTTATCATGTGGACACTTTCATAGAACCATGAACATCCTTGAACTTACAAACCAGAAATCAGACAACGAATGTGCTGAACAGTTGAGGCAGCTTTCCAGAAGGTAAGAATATAGATATCTGTATCATGTAGTCATGGGATCAACAAACTATGGCCCATGGGCCAGATAGGGCCCACTGCCTGTTTTTTTATAGCCCATAAGCTTAAAGCAGTTTTTATATTTTTTTCATGGTTGAAAAGAAATCTAAAGAATATTTTATGAAGTAAAAATTATGTGATATTAAAATTTCAGTGTCTATAAAGTTTAATTGGAACACAGCCACATTCGTTTTACGTATTGCCAACAACTGCTTTTATATATCAGCACCAGGGCCAGGCATGGTGGTTCATACCTGTAATCCTAGCACTCTGGGAGGCCGAGGCAGGCGGATTGTTTGAGCTCAGGAGTTCGAAACGAGCCTGAGCAAGAGCGAGACCCCGTCTCTAATAAAAAACGAAAAAAAGAAAAATTAGCTGGACAACTAAAAGTGTATATATACACACACACACACAGAAAATTAGCCAAGCATGGTGGTGCATGCCTGTAGTCCCAGCTACTTGGGAGACTGAGGCAGTAGGATTGTTTGAACCCAGGAGTTTGAGGTTTCTGTGAGCTAGGGTGATACCATAGCACTCTAGCCCGGGCAACAGAGTGAGACTCTGTCTCAAAAAAAAAAAATAAAATCCATATGTCAGCACCAGAGTTGAGTAGTTGAGACAGAGACCTTATGATGTACTCTCTCATCAGTTCACACTGCTGCTTGATACACTACAAATCACAGTGACACAGTTATAACTTGACAGTGTTTTAAGTGCCATGCGTATTACCGTATCATATTTTACTATTTTTATTGTCAGTATATAACTATCATGTCAAACAAGAAAAGATAAATTAACTTTTAATATCACAATTTTAAGGTACGATGGAATGGGGATTATTTTATTATTGAATTACATGGCAAAGCATTGTTTATTATGCAGTAATATTTTAGCTGTGCTACCTGTTTGAAAAGATATTTTCAAAGATGAATTATGAATCTCATTACATATAGTTCCATTGTATTGAAATGTAAAATCTCATTACAAATAGGCATTATCAGATGGACATTTATAATTAATTTTGATGGTAGGGAACGTTAACTTTGAACTCCAGTTAAGCAGATTATTGTCTCCCCACCAAGAAAAGATTCTCATTCTTCTCGTTATATATTATTCTCTATTAAAAAAATTCTCTTAACTATATTTTTAACTTAGTCATTAAAAAACTTGCTTAAATTTCTTTTCTCTTTCATTATATAAGCACCTGTATAACATCTTCAGTTTTGTCTCTTGGCCTACGAAGTTTAAAATTGAAATGTTTATGCTGGCCCTTTACAAAAAATATTTGCCAACTTCTGAGCTAGTTTGTATGACCAAACTGTGATATTAAGCTGCATTTTACTGTTTAAAGATTATTTCAGGGCCGGGTGCGTTGGCTCACGCCTGTAATCCTAGTTCTCTGGGAGGCCGAGACGGGCGGCTCCTTTAGGAGTTCGAAACCAACCTGAGCAAGAATGAGACCCTGTCTCTACTATAAATAGAAAGAAATTAATTTGGCCAACTAACATATATATAGAAAAAATTAGCCGGGCATGATGGCACATGCCTGTAGTCCCAGCTACTCGGGAGGCTGAGGCAGAAGGATTGTTGAGCATAGGAGTTTGAGGTTGCTGTGAGCTAGGCTGACGCCACGGCACTCACTCTAGCCTGGGCAACAAAGTGAGACTCTGTCTCAAAAAAAAAAAAAAATAAGATTATTTCATAATACTCTAAATTCTGTCTTTTTTATAAATCGTTTTTTATAGGCAGATCAAATTTATGCCCCCTATGGAGGTAAATGGTGCCTCCATTTAACACAGTCTAATTTTTCACAATAAATTAAGAAGGGCTTCATTGTGAGAATCAGGGCTGCTTGCATGTAGGAATATTAGGTCTCCTACAGCTTCCTGTCATTTGCTGTCTTGTGATACTAACCCAGAAAAACAAATACAAAAAGATAACATCATGGTTGTTAATATACATTCAATGCTTTATTTATATTTGTTGTGCAGGCATTGATGTGTTACTAACCTCTGGATTTCATCTGAGAAAAGCTTATTTAAGAGATATTTTTAAAAGACAGTACAACTGTCAGAAGGGTGTTTGCTTGAATGCAAAAAAGGTGATCTAGGTATTAATAATTATAGTTTGAGAGCAGAGCCAACACCGTTGTGAATGGTGAAACATTTAAATACCATAATGTCAAGGAGAATTTCCTAAAACATAGAAAGTAACTGCTTAGAGCCATTTACCTCATATATGCCTTTATATATTTTTCTGATTATAAAAGTAATAAATGTCTACTTGAAAAATACTGAAAATTATAAAGATATAGTGGTTAATGCCATAATGCAGTCATCTAAAGATATTTATATTTTAGCATATTTTCTTTAAGTCTTCTATATATATGGTTTTAATGAATGTGTTATGATCATTAGTATTGTTCATCCCTTTTTGTACAAAAGCTGTATTACAAATTGAATGCTATACCCTTAAAGTAAATTTCAGACTTGCTGTCTTAGTTCATTTGTGCTTCTATAACAAGACTGGGTAATTTATAAAGAACAGAAATTTATTTCTCACAGTTCTGGAGGCTGGGAAGGCCAAGATCAAGGTGCCAGAAGATTGTATAGTGGGGGCTGTTCCTTGCTTCTGAGACAGTGCCTTGTTGTTGCATCCTCCTAAGGGAAGAGTTGCTGTGTCCTACCAGAGGGAAGAAACTAAGGTCAAGAGGGGGCAAACTCTCTCTGAAGTCTCTTATATCAGGGTGTTAATCCATTCATGAAGGCAGATCTCATATTATGACTTAATCACTTCCTAAAAGGCCCCCACCTCTTAATACCACCACATTGGAGATTGTTTCAGCATGAATTTTGGAGGGGACAGCACATTCAAACCATAGCACTTGCTATGTAAGATTTATATTATATTGTAGGGATATATCTTTTTGATGGAAAAAATCTGAAATGTGTAAGTCAATAGGATTTTGATTTACAGACTGGCAAGTAGTATCTATTCTAAAAATCTTGATAAAAATATTGTGTAGAACAAAGAATTTCATACCTTTGAAAGCTTTAGTTTATATATCCATTCCTTCACAAACTTATATAATCTCCTATCTAGGCATTTGAAACACAAAGTCATAGGGGTGTTGTTTATGCCCCAAATGCTTACAGTTGTAGGAAAAACAGGGAAGTAAATATTTTGTTATAAACCTGTCACAACTGATTTGTAACTGAGGCAGAAGCTACAGGACAGAAGAGTGAAGCTTAGCCTAGACCAGATGTATTAAGGAAAGCTCTGGAATACAAGTGACTGTGTTGCCTCCTGAGAGATGAAATGTTAACTGGATAGAGAGTGACACCAAGAAGAAAAGGGAACAGTGTGTGCAGATTCCCAGGGCTGGGAAAGAGGCTTAATTGAGGAATTGACAGTAAATTGTGGCCAGAGAATGGGGTAGGTCGGAGAGACTATGGGAAGAGATTATGAGACAGAAGGCTACAGAGTTGAGCAGAGGCTACCCACTGTATGCAAGAAATGTAGGTGCTTTCTCATATTTCTTAAATATTCCACAGACTGGTATAGTGGCTCACACCTATAATCCCTGCACTTGGAGAGGCTAAGGCGGGAGGATCGTTTGAGCCCAGGAATTTGAAAACAGCCCAGGCAATATAGCAAGACCCCATCTCTACAAAAATAAAAAAATTAGCCAGCCATGGTAGCATGTCCCTATAGTCCCAGCTACTCAAGGGCTGAGGCAGGAAGATTGCTTCAGCCCAGGAGTTGGAGGTTGCAGTGAGCTATAATTATACCACTGTCCTTCAGCCCGAGCAACAGAAAAAGATCCTGTCTTTATATTTATATATTTATATATATATATATATATATATATATATATATATAATCCCATGGATTGTGAGATCATAATATGATGATTTATGAAACCTATCCAGAGGAAAACCTAATTTAATGTGCCTTAGGAAGATTCCCTAAGAAAACTGATCTGTCTGGCTAGGCATGGTGGCTCACACCTGTAATCCTAGCACTCTGGGAGGCTGAGGTGGGAGGATCACTCAAGGTCAGGAGTTCGAGACCAGCCAGAGCAAGAGCAAGACCCTGTCTCTACTAAAAATAGAAAGAAATTATCTGGATAACTAAATATACATATATAAAAAAATTAGCGAGGCATAATGGCACATGCCTGTAGTCCCAGCTGCTTGGGAGGCTGAGGCAGGAGGATCACTTGAGCCCAGGAGTTTGAGGTTGGTACGAGCTAGGCTCACACCATAGCACTCTAGCCGGGGCAACAGAGTGAGACTCTGTCTCAAAAAAAAAAGCAAACACTGATCTATCCCACTCTTGGCTGCTTATCACTTCTGAGGCATGTTGCCCAGGCAATGCTTAGGACAGGCTGAAGACATTGAAGGCACCACAGGTTGCTAAAGTTTGGCCAATGGGGAAGAAAAACAGTAATTGCAGGTATTGGTTTCAGATACTGAAAGTTTAATAAAGTAGAGAAAAATAAATTTTTAAAAATGTTATGATGTATAGTGAATTGCTTGCCACTTATTAGTTAAGTGCAACACAAATAGTGATTAGGCATACTATGAAAGACATCATTTTAACTTATGAAAATTTTTTTCTATTATAAGACTAAAATCTATAATATATGTTTAGCTTTTATAGCTTGTTGCTCATTTAATAGTATTCTCATTTATTTGAAAATGGAGGGATATTTCTTAGTAGCAGTGTGCTACACTGTGAACCTGTAGTACTTTCCTTATGGTGTATATAGCACATTGCTAGCCTGAGTGCTGATTTTCAATAACATAAAGGAGCTTGCCCCCAAATATAAATCTATGTACTACTTTGTTCATCAAGAAAGTCTTATTACCAATGGGAGGTTGAAAGAAAAAACAGTTGAATAAAATAGTGTGTTTGGTGATACAGTTGATTTATATACTAGTGCAAGCTTCTTGTTTCTCCCTGGCAACAAATAGTTTGCCCAGCTGCCAGTAGTCACACTCTACTTTGAGTAGCATTTGTGTAGCATATGCCCACAAGTAAGGTGTTATCCATGTTCCGTAATAGTAATATCTGGTGTTACAATCCATCATAGAGGTTAATATTAAAAGATAGTACTGATTCCTTCATCTTTTTCCTTCCTATTTACAATATATGTGGTGAATCTAGCTCATGGATTTTCCTGAACATTCTTGATTTCATTTAATTTTTTTAAATTAGTAGCATTTGCTAAATGTTTAATAATGTTTCAGTTTTTGTAAGACTTTTCATGCTCACAGTTTGGGAGAATATCCTCAGATTATGTGTTATGATTCACATTAGAAAATATAGTTACTATATTTACCAATCAGTTCATTGTAGTATTGAATGTAATCTGTTCAGTCTGTATCAGTGACTCTCAGTTCTGTTTAATGGTAACCTTCAGGTAATACAATTGAATTTTTTCCTAACTTATCCGTCTTGTAACAGTAAGGTCTATGGGTGAATAATCCATCTTTCAATAAGAATCTTTTGTTCAATATTAATATAAATAATATGGCTTCAAAGTATCTTACAGAACATATAATTATTTTCTCTTTTAGAATTACAGAGGATCATGTGATTCAGCATGGGCTGGTAGTGGATGGGACCAGCCTATCTCTTGCACTCAGAGAACATGAAAAACTATTTATGGAAGTTTGTAAAAATTGTTCAGCTGTATTATGCTGTCGTATGGCACCACTGCAGAAAGCAAAAGTATGTATGTTATAAGAAGCCTGCTATTTTGATCTAAAAAAGTTAATACCTTACATAGTTCCATTTTACTAGGAGTCAGTCACTTATCATTGTGAATTTTAACCAAACATTAGACTTTTGGAATTCTCACAATGAACTTTAAAGATTCAATTATTTATAATGACATAGAAAGTCTGTAATGGGTAGCAGATTTGTGTTCTTGTCGAAATACAAGTGAAAAAGCCTAGAAGACTTCAAATTCATCTGTACTTACAGATGGTTCTCTTGATCTCTCCTTATTCTTGTATACTGATGATGTAGTAATTCTTTGTTAAAATGGATATAAAGTGATAAATATAAATAGAGCTTTAGTAAAAAGTTGAAAAGCTACTTGTAATGTGAAGCTATTGTATATACAGGAAATATTTAAATTTCAGCTACCTATGATTCAATTGAAAGCCTATACAAACATTTTTATAATTCCAAATTGGGAATTTGAGGTCTTAGATTGTATTTTTCACAAATCTTTTGCAATGCATGTCCATATATTGATTGTTTCATATATAGGCCTAATAAACTTGCAGTTTATTTTGACTACATAGAATTTTGCTACAGTGCCTATATAATAACTAATGTACTCCAGTCTTTGGAGAATAAAACTGCCAAACAGAATTAATTCCTAGGTTCTTTATAAAAAGAACATTCAAGAATTCCAAAGAAACTTTTCTTTTGATTTCACTGAATTTAATCTTGATTGCTTATTTAAAAATTTTTAAATTTTATCAGGAGAAAGCAGTTGTCTTTCCTCTTAATATTAAGTGAAAAAAATAACTTTTTGAGAAAGAAAAATTTTGCCTAACAGTTCAATTAAGTGCAGTTACTTTTTTACATAATTAAGTTATTAAGGTTTTTAAATATTTAAGCTATATATTTAAAAGATTCTTGCTTCTCATCATAAAATCGAAAGATAATTCTCTGTTGTGACATTTCTGAGAGACACTCCTAAAATCTTAATGGAGATATCCCTCAAAAAAATGAACACCAGTGCATATTGTCTAATATAAAATTCAATCTTTTTTTCATTACTCTACTGTTCTTACTACAGTCATTTCAGATAAATTACTTTATGTAAATATAAGAAAGTTAAAATTTTATCACAAAGAACTAATTCATTGTATGTCTTTCAGGTAATAAGACTGATAAAAATCTCACCTGAGAAACCCATAACATTGGCTGTTGGTGATGGTGCTAATGATGTAAGCATGATACAGGAAGCACATGTTGGTATAGGTAATTGATTTTTTTTTCCTAAACTTTTTAAGTTGATATAATTATTTGGTGGTTTTGAATTTTCCTTTTATAGATTAAGTTACATTATCAAATATGTGAATGAAAATTAAATGCAACATGGTTGTGTATCACAGTGTATCCCTATCAGAAACCTATTGTAATTAAGTACACTATATTATATTTTACAGTATATTTTATTTTTTATTTTTATTATATGTTATGGTATGTTAGATAGTGTATTTTAGTTCCAAATTTTAAAGGAAATAAATACATTAGTGAATTTTATCTTTGCCTATTCTCCATAATAAAAGTAACTTTATTTTTACATGCCATTTTGTACCTTTTAAAGTATTTTCACACATTTTAAAGATAATTTTAGAGACAAGAAATTGCACCAAACTGTAATAAAATATAAAATTTCAAATAGTTTTCTGATTTTAATAACTTTTATTCTAATTTCTTTTCTTTTTGCCTAAAACTTTTATTGGATTCAGACTACTATTATTATTTAATTATATTTAATTTATTAATCCTTTCCTATTTTAACCATATTCTGACTTGTCTTCCTCTATAATTTTATTTTACAAATACACAGCAAAAGAGAAAAAGTATGGGCATGGGTTTTTTTAATTGAAGAATAAAACTTGAGAGTTAAAAGAGAGGCTAGTCTCTGTTTTGGAATAGTCTCTACAGTGTTCTGTAATGGGTAGTTATCAGGTCAGTGACTAGAATAGATTCAAGAATCTGGAAGATTTTAGTATTTAACAAAGATGTTTCACATAAATACAAACTGTTAAGTAAAAAATACTGATAAAATTGGTTAGTTATTAATATTTAGAAAAAAGAGAAGTTGGATCTTTTTCCATTACTTATAGTAAAACAAATTCCAGATGGATTAGAATATAAATAATTTTTAAGACCATAGAAAGTATAGAAGAAATTTTAATGAATAATCTTATTTGAGATGTGGAAGGGTCTTTTAAGCATAATACCAAAGCAAGGAACTATAGTTAACTATAGGAAAAAGATCATACAATGGTAAAAACTCTCCCAAAACAAATTTTACAGATAAAAGACAAACTAGTAAAGAATATTTGCAAAATAGATGACAAAGTCTTAATATTCCTAATATATGAAGTCTTAACAAATTAAAAAGAATAAGAAAAACACTAAAGTAGAAATATGCAGAAGTATGTGAGCCATCAGTTGTCATAAAAAGAGAAATTTAAAATGAATACTAAATGTATGAAAAAAATGTTCGGTGTCTAACAATCAATGAAATACTAATTAAAGTTGCTTTTCAGATTGGCAGAAACTACAAAGATTGATAAATCTGAAGTTTGCAAAGATATAGATTAAGAAATCCTCTTATACAATGTTAGTGAGAGAGTAAATTGGTACGCCCTGCATTGTTATGCATAACAAAATTTTTAAATATATGCCTATTGACCTTGCAATTATGCATCCAGGAATTTCTTCTAAGAAAATAATTGCACATGTTAATAAATGCTGTATATTAGAAACAATGTCCATAATCTGTTAGGTAACAAAAGCATGTTACCAAATAATCCCATTTTTATACACGTTTTTAAAATATATTAAATATACATAGGAAATAAGCAGAAAGAAAAATTCTGAAAGGACATGGACTAAAAACATGGTTTTCCCTAGGTGTTATGAATATAGATGATTTTCACTGCCTATACATTTTGCAGCATTTTGATACTTTTATGACAAAAATGTTAATTTATTTTATTTTATTTTTTTGAGACTCGCTTTATTGCCCAGGCTAGAGTGAGTGCCATGGCATCAGCCTAGCTCACAGCAACCTCAAACTCCTAGGCTCAAGCCATCCTACTGCTTCAGCCTCCCGAGTAGCTGGGACTACAGGCATGCACCACCATGCCCGGCTGATTTTTTGTGTATATATTAGTTGGCCAATTAACTTCTTTCTATTTATAGTAGAGACGGGGTCTCGTTCTATCCTCAGCTGGTTTCGAACTCCTGACCTCGAGCAATCCTCCCACCTCGGCCTCCCAGAGTGCTAGGATTACAGGCTTGAGCCAACACGCCCAGCCAAAAATTTTAAATTTTAATTTTAAAAGTGGCTTTCAAATTAAAAACTTGGCAATAACTCTTGCTTTTTTGAAACCTAAAGGATCATTGTAATCCCCCCAAAAAGTACTCATATTTGTCAGATAAAACAATGTACCGATTTCAAATGATATTGTACATTTTTCTTTTTTAATTTATTCTAAATTTATTTTTTTTTTTATTAAAAAGAACAGCTTGTTTGACTTATGCATGAAAGGTTGTTTTTTAGAGACAGAGTCTCACTCTGCTGCCCAGCCTGGGTTGTAGTGGCCCGATTATAGTTCACTGTAACCTGGAATTAGTGGGATCAAGTGATCCTTATCCTTCCTCAGCCTCCTGAGTAGCTGTGTCTACAGGCTTATGCCACCAGGCTCAGCTGATTTTTTTTTTATTTTTTGTAGAGGTGGGGTCTCACTACATTGCCCAGGCTGGTCTCAAATCCTTAGCTTCAAGCAGTCCTCTCGCCTCGACCTCCCAAAGTACTGGGATTACAGGTGTGAACCACTGTGCCCAGCACCATAAAGTTTTAAATCGGTTAAATATGCTCATTATTTTTGCTAGGTTCAAATTATTCAATTTGAATATTTTTATATTCATTGGAAATAGTGAAGTTAAATCTATTTTATAGCATTCTGTCCATGAGAACTCTGTTACCCACCCAGTATTTGTGCTTACTAGTATAATAAGTGATGCTCCTGCTAGATCCTGAACTTTCAATATTATTTTTATATTAATTGTATTTTATCTTATTGTGTTTTAATTCTTTGAAAATTGGTATTATATGTCTGGTATATATTGTAGCTTTATATTAAATACATATTTAGGTAGAACAACCTTTTAGACATCTGCTATCTGCTGACTTATTAGGATTCAGTTTTCCAAAGTCCATGTTTAACAACTATAAATAATTAAGATATCTGCAGATGCATCATAAAAATTGAACTAATCAGTCATAAGTGAACATGCCTTTCTGTCCCCTTTGTTACAGGAATCATGGGTAAAGAAGGAAGACAGGCTGCAAGAAACAGTGACTATGCAATAGCTAGATTTAAATTCCTCTCCAAATTGCTTTTTGTTCATGGTCATTTTTATTATATTAGAATAGCTACCCTTGTACAGTATTTTTTTTACAAGGTGAGTTTCATATAGATATTTAGACTCAATTATTGATATAATAATTTGAAGTTTCAATTTGAGGAATGTTATAACCATATATATTTTTCTTAAAAATAGTGTCTATAAGTAAAAATAATAGTAGTTTGTCATAAATCTAATGTATACCAACAGAAAGCAAATCAGTGGTTGCCTGGGGCCAAGGGTTCAGGTGGTAGAATTGACTGGAAGGGAATGTAAGAGAACTTTTTGGGGTGATAGAAAAGTTTTCTAGTTTTATTATGGTGGTAGTATATAAAAAATTTCCAGAACACATTAAAACTAAAATTGATGTTTTATTCCATGCAAATTAGAACAAAGTAAATTTGATTTATTTAAAGTTATTTTTTCCTGAACCAGTAATAAGTTTTAATTTAACTACAATATGATGGTTTCAAACAGAGGTTCTTAACCTTTTTTGTGCCATGAATGGCCCTTTAGTGGGGTTTTTATATGTATAAAATAAAATACATAGGATTATAAGGAAACTAATTATACTGAAATACTATTCTATCTCTGGATCCTTTGATGAGAGCAGAAACCCACATTAAGAGCTCCTGTTACCAATATATTTAATATAGCAATGTCCTATATTGTATATATTCCTATAACTAATAGCTACAAGCCAATGAAAGAACACAAGTAGTAGACCACACATTGCTATAAGATGATGATGGCAGTTTTCTTCTGACTTATTATTCTAGCTTTTACTTAGAATATTAATATATTGAGATGAAAAGATGTTTTGACAATTCTATTTATTGTGTGTTTGAAGTATTTTTGCATTTTAAAGCTGTCATAGCCCTAAAGTTTAGGTAAATCTTATTGTACTATATATGAAAAGAATTGAATAATAGTTGGAAGGTAATAAATTCAAAATTGTACTATTGCTTGGCAAAGATAGGAGTCAAGGGTATTTTCATTCTCATATCTGTACTGGTGCATAAAATGCTTTTAGATGTTTTTTAACAAAATGGAAATCCTACTTTCCTGTGTTATATAGACAAGTCCTTATCCTCTACTTACCATATTAACTGAGATTGTGTTTATGGACACCTTTGTAACCATTTTTAAAGTGTTTCTCTGCATTCCTTTTGTCAGAAAAGAAAAAATAAATAAATAAATAAATAAAAAAGGAAAAAAAAATAAAGTGTTTCTCTTTTAGACCTGAATATTTTAATTATTTCCTATTTAATCTTATTTTTCAGAATGTGTGCTTTATAACACCTCAATTTTTATATCAGTTCTACTGTTTATTTTCTCAACAAGTAAGTAAACAGAAGTTTATATTTTGTCCTTTTAGAATAAGGTATTTATGTTTGGATTTTGATAGACATTTGGAGGGACTTCTCATTTTTCTTCTCCAGGTAACTAGACAAAACGTTTTACTCAGTGTGTTTAATCAGCGCAACATAATATTCTCCTTTTCACTTTGAGGTGAATGTTAATGCCAAAATACATTGTAATTCTGGATGATGTTTTAAAAATAAATATTAACTCTTAAGAGCTTATCAGAGAATTTTGATAACTTTTTTCAACTTCTTTATTATATTTCTATAGAATCCATATCAAGCCAGACCAGTTAATATTGGTGATTTACCTCATTTTTATATTTAGCTGACAATTTTTTAGGTTTGGAAGAAACTTTAGTGATTTAGTATAGGGATGGCAATATAGGTTTTAACCTCAGAAGCTAGCTTTAAAGATAATAATTGTTAGAGATACCTGGAGTGCTATATTGAAAAGGTTTCTGAAGCCATAGGCTCAGAGGGAAAATGCTGTAATCTGTTAACAGTGGCTGTAATGGGCACAGAGTGGGTCTTTTTTGTACACATGTTACATATTTGCAATTCCTGATCTAGTCTGTTTTATTAGAAAAGAAAAGTGAAATCCATAGATATTAAGTAACTCGCCTTAGCTAATTTAATGACTAAACCATGACTTGGAGCTACTGCTTCTCACTAATTGAGCACCCTTTTCACATACAACACTCTACTGCTCAAATTTATCAAGACATTGATCCAAATTTATTGAAAAAACAAGATCTTAATTATCTTAGATTTTTAATGAGTTGTTCCTATCCTTAATTGCTTTTTCTTTTCTTTTTACAACCTATAACTCTAAATTCCAGATATCTGCTTGTTGATTGCCAGTAACAGTTCATTTTCCTAAATGAACTAAAGAATGTGATAAGACCATATAACAAGGGGATCGGATTTATTTTAATTAGGTTTTCAGGGAGTTTATAGTGCAATTTAGGAGGCAGTATTAATAATAATTAAAACAATATATGAAGCTTACGCAAAATGCTAAGCAATTGATACCAACAGTAGGACCTATGGCAGTTTAGAGGAGAAAGCTATCATCAAGAACTTAGGCAATTGTGCAAAGTTTGATGGAAGTTTGATGCAAAGTTTCATTGCCTCAAAGGAAAAGTAGGACATAGATGGGGCAACAAAGCCATGAAAAAAACCTCTATGTGTTTTAAGGAATTCTTCTAAAGGAATTGTAAGTAAGAATGCTAGGGTGCTTATAGAAGAATTGTGTAAAATTACTTTACAGTGACCAAATTGTGATTCAATTCACTAGAATTTTAGAATCACCTAACATAGTAACATAGTAAAATATTCCAATTCCCACAAAGAATATAAATCCAGGAACATTATATGTTTATGTCTATATTGAAAGCTAATTGAAATTATTAAAATTAATTTTATTATAACTTGATAAACTATAATTTTATGCTTATTTTAATATACTTCTTTGTGATTATATGCATAAGTATAATACTAACTCATAATTTAGAATCTCAGCATTCCTACCAATTTCTCTTTCTAGACATTGTATGACAGCGTGTACCTGACTTTGTACAATATTTGTTTTACTTCCCTACCTGTTCTGATATATAGTCTTTTGGAACAACATATAGACCCTCATGTATTACAGAACAAGCCCACCCTCTATCGGTAAGTATATTCCAGTATTAAAGGTCCATAATATTTCTGATTGCAAGCAGTGTATTAAATAGTTACCATTTTTTAAAAGTACCTAAAAATAAGCAGATTAGTACTTTGATGATTAAAACTTTACCTAGTAATTGTCATATGGCTTAAAGTTATTGAATATCAAGGAGAAAATTTTGAATAATTTTTTTCAAAGAGAAAATTTAAATAATTTTTCTAGTGTCTGTAAGAATGAATACTTTCATCTTAGGAATGCATTGGGTAATTGTGTGATTTGCACTTAATATTGCAAAACAATAATATTCCATTTTGTGTGCAAAAAAGAAATTAGGAATTGGTGGTCTCTAGAATTCCTAAAAAATTAGTTTATGTTCTACTATTGCCCAATTTATAAGTAGTAATCAATACAAAATGCAGGGTTAAGGATATTAATTCCCATCCCAGATCCCCTGCTTTATTCCTGAACCAAGTAATCACAGAGATGTCCTTGAGACCTATTCCTCAGGACCAGCTTATGGTTTCCACTATAAACTGCTATAGAGATCCCACTTATAGAGGTATCTAATTATTCAGTTATGGAATAACTTACTTCGATTTCCCAGGATATCTAGGACAGGGCTTGATCCAAGATTGGCACAGATTGTTCTTCCCATTATAGATATTGTTGAAAGTGAACTTAATTAGGACCCTCAGTGCTGACCCTAACTCAAATGACCTCACTAAAAAGAGACCATAATGACAGCATGATTAAATGTTAACAGAAGAATATAATAACAGATAAATCAGCTTTTCACAATTAACTGACACATTATGTCTATATCATATATAAACTCTAAACTGTTACACAGATGTATATTACAAACAGTGGTTTGTAAGTTTGGGTTTCTGCTAATATTTTCAAGCATTTTAAATTAAAAATCCATCTTGTTTTTAAATTACTAAGTTATAATTGTATAGTAGGTAAATAATAAATGATTCCTAACATGTTCCTTTTTCTCTTCTTTTTTTTAATTTACAGAGACATTAGTAAAAACCGTCTCTTAAGCATTAATAAATTTCTTTATTGGACCATCCTGGGTTTCAGTCATGCCTTTATTTTCTTTTTTGGATCGTATTTTCTGATAGGGGAAGATGTATCTCTGCTTGGAAATGGCCAGGTAAAATATATAATTTTTTAAAGAATGCTTGGTAATATTTTGATTTGGTTTGGTTTTTGATAACTTTTTGTCATAGAAAATAAAACTGGAATTGTTGTTTTTAAACAGGGCTTCGTAGAATACTACAAATTAATTTTTGATAGTTAGAGATTATTACTGTCATCCTACTTTAAATTTGTATCATTAAAGAAAAATGCAATCATCATTTCTTTTTTAGTAATAAAATTTTGACAAAGTTATGTTATAAAATATTTATGAGAGGTTTTGATGTAACTTTAAAAATTTAAGTTCCCCCAAAATAATATACCACCTAGAAAAATTCACTGCCATTAAATCATTTTTGAAACAGGTTTATTGAGGTATAATTGACATATAACAAATTTACATATTTAAAATATGCAATTTGATACCTTTTTAAAACCATTTTTAAATGTACAGTTCAGTAGTTTTAAGTATATTTACATTGTTCTGCAGTAGATCTCTAGAACTTTTTCATCCTGCAAAACTGAAACTCCATCCCCATTGAACAACTATTCCTATTTTACCCTCCCATCAGACCCTGACAACCACCATTCTACATTTTGTTTCTGTGAATTTACTACCTGTGAAATCTGTTTTTAAAAAACTAAGTAAGTGTTACAGCTTTTTTAGAATTTATATATGTTAAATAAAAGGCTAAATAAGTGCAAGGTAAATACCAATGAAGAATGGTTATTAAGTATACTATAAAGTAAAGAAGTAACTAAAAACTAATGAGTGTATTTTTTAAAGAAGAACTTATCTTCTCCTTTCTTGACCCCTAGAGAATAAGTCATCTTAGTGCATGCTTGTTCTAACAATGTTGCTGTTGTACAAAGTATTTTTGGAAATAGCTTATGTTGCCTTACTGGGGTCTCAGTAAGGAAACTTCCTCAGGGAAGAAGCTGTTTAAAACTATAAATAAAGATGCTACTTAAGATTATAGGTAAGGAAAGAAAGTGATGGGAAAATGTGAGAGAAACAATTCAGATTGAAAGAATTCACCCCCAGTAAAACAGACATCCACAGAATGTAATGGAAAAAGCATTGTGTCTGTCATAGAGTATATTAGATGAATAAGAATTTTACATTGAAGGAAACAGGAAAGGGAATTGTCATGTGGTGAGAGTGGAAAACTAATGATATAGGGAGGAAAATATCAGGAGAACAGTTTCAGAGGTAGCTGAGTTCCCCATCCTAATATTTTATGACATTGTGTTTCTCTGGTGGTTCCAACCAAAGGCTTCAGAAGAAAAAGAGGAGGCCAGATGTGGTGGCTCACGCCTGTAATCCTAGCACTCTGGGAGGCCGAGGCGGGTGGATCGCTCACGGTCAGGAGTTCAAAACCAGCCTGAGCAAGAACGAGAGACCCTGTCTCTACTATAAATAGAAATTGGCCAACTAATATATATAGAAAAAGTTAGCCAGGCATGGTGGCACATGCCTGTAGTCCCAGCTACTTGGGAGGCTGAGGCAGGAGGATTGCTTGAGCTCAGGAGTTTGAGGTTGCTGTGAGCTAGGCTGACGCCACGGCACTCACTCTAGCCTGGGCAACAAAGCAAGACTCTGTCTCAAAAAAAAAGAAGCGTATGCCTTGCCTCTTATAGTACTACCCAATGGTCAGTCCATAGTAAAGAGATAGTTTGTACTGGAGAACTGAACAACTAATTAACTCTAGGGAAGGTAATTCTTGTGTAGACAGATATATAGTTAAGTTAAGCCTGATAAAGAGAAAGTTTTCACCTTTTGTTTATTCTTAAAAACCTTCTTACTTGACATAAGACTTTGCTTCTGTAATTGTACTCTCTCTCCTTCACCATCAGTCTTTCATCCTCTGTGGGATCAAACCCATCACCATACAAACACAAACATGCTTTAAGATCTCCCATGTTCTAATAAAAAGCACACTGCTTTGGCCCACATCTTATTCTGGCTATATTTTTCTTTGTGTCTTTAGAGCAAAACTTGAAGAAGTTATGTTTTCTCATTATTTCTACTTCCTGGACTCCTGTTCCCCCTGGAATATATTCCACTGGGGCTATTGCCCCTAGCCCTCTTCTCAAAACCATGTTCTTTATGGTCATCATCATTTTATGTTCCTAAATCCAAAAGCACATCTCAGATCTTATGAACTTGACCACTGGGCACAATTTATAAAGCCTTCTTTCCTGCCACATGATCTTCTCTCAGCGTCTGTAGCTTACTTTGGCATCCTACTATTTTTTATTATTCCTTTTGTATCTTTTCCTCTTCCTGCCCTCAGAGTCAGGGTTTCTCAAACTCTGTATTATTGACATTTTGAACAGGATAATTTTTTGTAGTGAGGGCTCATCCTATGAATTATAGGATGTTTATCAGCATCTCTAGCCTCTACCGACTAGATACCAGTAGCACACACACATACATTCCCCTAGTTGTGACAACCAAAATTGTCTCCAGACCCAGCCATGTGTCCTCAGGGAGGTACAGTCACCCCCACTTGAGACCCATTGCTCTAAATGGAACAGTAGCCTAGGGCTCAGTCCTAGGCTGTCAGTTCTTCTTTATCTGTACACTGGGTACTCTCATCCTTCCCATCTAAGAAATGATAGAGAAAGCAGACAGGTTGGGATAGAAAGCATTTTGAGCATCTAAGGTGTAACGGAGTCTAAACATTTTATCAGGCCCTCTTTAAGAAAAAATAAGCGTATAATTACAAATACAAACTTAAGTATACCTGAAAGTGATGATGTGTGACATAAATATGCCCCACTTAATCCAAACTTAATCACTTTTCCTTTTTTTTTGAGACAGAGTTTTGCTCTGTTTCCTGGGCTAGAGTGCCATGGCGTCAGCCTAGTTCACAGCAACCTCAAACTCCTGAGCTCAAGCAATCCTTCTGCCTCAAGTCTCCTCATGTTCTTATTTGTGGAAATAAAATCCTGATATTCTTTTGGGATTCTGCTTATTTAATAAACCTTAATAAGTTTTGGCTATAAAGCCCAAGGGAACACTTTCTGACTGTCATTAACTACATTTTTACATGGAATCTTTTGAGGAGCTATTCCATTGTCCATTATCTTTCCTTTCATTTTTAAGTATAAGTTTCTTTTTTTCTTGCTCTACTAATGCTGTGTCCAAAAATACTGTGGCAAATAATCTGCTGTAACTTTCTGGTTGGGAAGGTTGCAAAAAAATAATGGTGATTGAACAGTTTTGTTACCATTTTCACCGTGTCAGGAATAAAGCAGTCACTAACAACTATTCTATTCTAACTAAAAACAGTCTGTGCCACACACTTCGACCCCATCTTTAGGTTTCCAGTCTGATAATGTTAAGAACCACTGAGCATAAAAATAATAAGCATAATGGTGTTTCTTCTTATACTCTTCTTAACTTTATTAATATGGTTACCAGTTTCAAGTGTAACTAACTAGCACTTCTTGAAGAGCTAAATACATCAAGTGATTTTTAGTAGATTACTTTTTTGCTTACATTTGATTTAGCATCACGTTAACACATAATGTAATAGTTTATTCTTTTTGTTTAGATGTTTGGAAACTGGACATTTGGCACTTTGGTCTTCACAGTTATGGTTATCACAGTCACAGCAAAGGTATGTTACTAAAATTAGAAACAGACACATTTTATGTCTGTATACATAATTAGTTAATTTTCTGCATTTCTTTAGTCATAGATATTTGTCCATTTTCAATAATAAATGATTTTATTGATTGCTATTTTAATAATTTATTTAAATTTTTGTCAAAAAATTCTTAAGTTCATTATTTTGGGAAGCCTCAGCTGATTTTTATGATCAAATAAAAATCTCTGAAATGTTGCTTCTTTGTAGATAGTGCAAGAACATAATTTGTTTTAGGCTGTGGAGTTGAAATACAATAATCACATGAAATTTCAATGCTGCTTCCTCACAAAAGAAAAATATTATAAGCTAAAAATTATTCAATTTTATACTAGGACTCTTTCATTAATATGTCTTTTAAGGGATTCTACCATGGTACTTTTAAATACTTATAATTAATACATTATATTCTTGAGTTTTATCTGAGAGGTTAAAAAGTAAAGCTTTATTATTTTATATATCTAATAATTTTTTAAAACATTTTTTTAGATGGCTTTGGAAACTCGTTTTTGGACTTGGATCAACCATCTTGTTACCTGGGGATCTATTATATTTTATTTTGTATTTTCTTTGTTTTATGGAGGGATTCTCTGGTGAGTAACTATATTGTATTTTAATTATATTGATTCAACTTTAATAAACATCTGTTATTGTGATAGGTTATATTATGAACAGATTCTGCTCAGAATAGTTTTGAGACTCTATCCTGATAATAAATTTACTTTTTTCAGTTGATGTTACTGATACAGAGAAAAAAAGAAAGTAACATTTATTGAATATCTACTATATTCTAAATGTGGTTTTTTAATGTAAGATATTACATAGGTTAATCACAATACTTATCTCCATTTTTTTCTATGTGGAAACTGAGCCTCTAGATCACAAAGGTAAAAAAATAGCAAGGCCAATATTTAAACTCCAAGTGTTATTTCACAATTAATTTTCTCTACACTAACCATATTACGTCCAAATTATTTATTAATGTGTGCAATAAAATAAATCACATAGAACTATTAAATTTTAGTTGTTGAGTTAATTTGTCTCTCAAAAGTAAGTAGTATGTGTCATCTTCATTGGTAGAATCAGATACTTGGCTGGCTACTTTAATAGATTAAAAATTGATGCTTCTCCTAAGATTCTTTGGTAGGTGATAGACAACTAAGTCTCTCTCTTTTTGAGAATTTATTACATTTGCCTGCTGTGCCTTTGATCCATTTATCAGGCAAAAAACCTTCTGTTTAGTTTCATAAAAGGATACTCATATGAATATTGTTTGTTTATAATCTTTATTTCTCTGCTTTTTTCTCTATTTCCCCATACTCTTTTGAACTGAGACATAAAAAACCCAAAAAGAGGCCGGGTGTGGTGGCTCACGCCTGTAATCCTAGCACTTTGGGAGGCCGAGGCGGGCGGATTGCTCAAGGTCAGGAGTTCAAAACCAGCCTGAGCGAGACCCCGTCTCTACCAAAAATAGAAATAAATTAATTGACCGACTAAAAATATATATACAAAAAATTAGCCGGGCATGGTGGCGTATGCCTGTAGTCCCAGCTACTCGGGTGGCTGAGGCAGTAGGATCGCTGAGCCCCGGAGATTGAGGTTGCTGTGAGCCAGGCTGACGCCGTGGCACTCACTCTAGCCTGGGCAACAAAGTGAGACTCTGTCTCAAAAAAAAAAAACAAAAAAAAACCATTTTAAAATAAATGTACTCACAAATACTAGTTTTACATAGTAACAGGTATTGCAAGATATTCTTTTTGGGTTTTTTTTTTTTTGAGACAGAGTCTCACTTTGTTGCCCAGGCTAGAGTGAGTGCCACGGCGTCAGCCTGGCTCACAGCAACCTCAATCTCCGGGGCTCAGCGATCCTACTGCCTCAGCCACCCGAGTAGCTGGGACTACAGGCATACGCCACCATGCCCGGCTAATTTTTTGTATATATATTTTTAGTCGGTCAATTAATTTATTTCTATTTTTGGTAGAGATGGGGTCTCGCTCAGGCTGGTTTTGAACTCCTGACCTTGAGTAATCCGCCCGCCTCAGCCTCCCAAAGTGCTAGGATTACAGGCGTGAGCCACCACACCCGGCCTATTTTAAAATGTTTTTAAAGAAGAGCCTCTGAATAGAGCTTTTATCCTAAGACTTGGGTAATCAGTCTTTTAACTGCTCAGTAGAAAATATTTTGTTATATACTTTTCCTTGCTTTTCTTGGTCTCTTAAGTCTGTATTACTACATTATTCTTATGATACCCTACCACCAAGATAGTCAACTGCTTGCTACTTTTCTAGTAATAAAAACTTACATTTGCCTTTAATAATTAAGGTCTATCTTGTTTTATTATCTAATTAAATTATACTGATTTTGATTTTGAACATTTTCCTGAAGTACTTAATTTTTACTTTCAAACACAATGTGTTTATATGATGTCCTGATTTAAATCTTTCAGTTTCTACTTTTATTAAGTCCACTGTCTTTCTTTGCAGGCCATTTTTGAGCTCCCAGAATATGTATTTTGTATTTATTCAGCTTCTATCAAGTGGTTCTGCTTGGTTTGCCATAATCCTCATGGTTGTTACATGTCTGTTTCTTGATATCATAAAGAAGGTATTTGACCGACACCTCTATCCTACAAGTACTCAAAAGGCACAGGTAACCACTTTCTGTATTCAGTATCTTTTTAGTTAGTGGTCTTAAAGCATTAGCTGTCATTATAATTTGCTTATATCAGAAAATAGGAAATTACCTATTTCTGTATCAAGTATTTTATAACATAAACATTGTTAAATGTGATATTTTAAGAATATTTCATTTCTGTTAATTTGATGACTATTGATAAATTATGAGTTTTTTAAATTATATTATGTTTTTATCAAAACTCCACCTTTTTAAATATAAATCTGTCAAGTTATGTCCAGTTAACAATAATAAATATGTTTTAAATAATATCACAGCATTCTATTCTATATGTACATGAGATATATAGTCATGTCTGTAGAAACATTAGAAGTTGAGTAATACTTTTTCAGGTTATATCGTTTTCAACAAAAGAGTATGAAATAAGTTTTTTAACTTAAATAATTTTTATGGAAAATTTCATGAAATGTATTCTCACTAAACATTTATTAGTAAATATTAAACTACTGTAAATATTAGCAATATGTTATATAGGGCTTGAGAATATGGTCTTTGGGTCCTGATAGATCTCAGTTCACATCCCAGCTCTGCCACTTGGTATCTCTGTGACTTTGAGTCTCAGTTTCCTCATTGGTAAAATTATGGTAGAAATGTCCCTTTCATTACCTTTGTAGTGAGGATTAAATGAAACAATTTTAAAACATAGTAGACCCTCATGAATTGGTAGCTGTTTAGTTGAATGAGCCTTTCCTGTATATTTGATTAGTACATGAGATAGAAATCTATCTTAATTTGTCCTTTTAACTGTACCATAGTATTGGGTATGTTTTCTCAAGAATATATTCTGATCAATTCTTATACCCTGATAAACACTGAGTTTATTAAGCATTTAATTCTGCCGAGGTTGAGATTTTTCAACATGTTTGCAATATGCCAAGCAAAGTTTGTTTAAATTTTGGAGATTTAGTTGTATATTAATACTACAAATAGAAAAAGAGTTCCCTAAGTATTTAGTGATTTAAGGTAGGCTTCCTGAAAAGTGTATCGGTTTTAATTTCAATTGGTCATATCAGCAACATATTTTTAGCATTTATTTTCTTTGGTAACTTAATCCTAGCCTACATACATTTTAACACCCTTGAGCTAACATAGTCTTGTAAAGCCTGACAAACAAATTCAAATGCAATTTTAACTATTTATATGATGTATGTACTTGATCAAGTTACTTTGCTAAGACTCAATTTCCTCCTGTAAAATCAGAAATATAATAACTACTTTATAAGATTGTTAGAGATAATGATATGAAGCACCTGAAATTCAGCCTGTATGTGGTTGGTTCTCAGTAAAAAATGTTATGATTTTAAGTACAATACAGATCAGAATGTTGCTCTGTGATACTGATCTCTAAATGGGGCTAAAAAACTTGCATAATCTGATTACTCTGTCTGCCTACACATATATTTATATCAGTATAGACAGACTTTTCCACTCCACGGTATATTTCTTAAATATATATCAGAAAGTTTTGCCTATCTTACTATTTTTAATCTTTAGAGATAAATATTTATAATATAATTGTTATTTTTAGTATGTTGTCTATTCCCTTTATGGAGAATAGTTTGTCTCCCCCTCTGGGCCTATATACAGTTATATTTCACCAAAATATATGAATGGCATCATTTTAAAAACTTAATTCTTTGTAACAGTAAATATAGGTTGACTATCCCTTGTCCAAAATGATTGTTTCAGATTTCAGATTTTTTTGGATTTTGGAATATTTGCATTATATTTGCTCAGCATCCGTAAGGCAAAATCTGAAATGCTCTCGTGAACATTTCCTTTAAGCGTATCATGTCTGTATTCAAAAAATTTTGGATTTTGGAGCATTTTGAATTTTCAGATTAGAGATAACCTGTAATTAAATTTCTTTACATTTATCCTTAGAAATTCTACTATAGGCAGAGCATTGACAAATTTATGATGTATTTTCATGGGGATTTCTTCTTAATGCTATCATGATATATGATATTAGTTCTTGTTATCTTTTTACATAGGAAATATTTCATACCTTCAGGTAGGCACTGACACAAGTTAAAAGTGTTTATATATATTTTGGTTCTTTTACCATAAATTAAAACTGATTAAAATGGAATGTACAGTAAATCAATCATTTTATCTACATGTGAAAGCCATTATATGCTTCCTTTTGGCTCACTGTATTTATTTCCAAATGACAACCAGATGTTATAGGTGGTCTAATCCAAGAAGAAAATCTCTACTTCCACTCTGGGGATCTTTAGCCTGCTGATATTTTTTTTTTTTTTTTACTGAAATAGTACTAATATATGGTCATTCAAATCCCATATGTGACATTATTCCTTTGCTACAGGCAGCAATCATTATTATTTCAGCTTTATACCATTATTTCTGATTTCAAACTGTCAGCTACTTTATCATTTACCAAAAGTAGCATGAAAAATTGTATCAAAAGAAGAGCTATCAGCATTTATTCTGAGCTTTATTTTTCTCCAGAATAAGAATGTGGTGTTAAGAGTGAAGACAAATTCTTTTAATGGCATAGCTAACAACCCTACAAATGTCAATCATGTATGTGCATCATGTATGATATTTCTTACTCATGTAGGAACAGATGTATTTACAGAGCTTGTCCTGTGTCTGTCTCTTAGGTGATGAATACAGCTCACTGACTTGTTGTGTGTCCCATCCCTTTTCTGTCCACTTATAGATGTACTCCAACACAGTTGCTTTAAGTGACGAGTTCATCGCACTGCAGCCATTGTCGAGGGCAAGGAATCAGCTGAGCAAACTTAGGTAGAGTAGGAGGAGTAGAACCTCATTAACTCTTCTGCATGCTAAAGGTCAATTAAACAATATCTGAAAGATGGGCAGAGGCATGAATAAAGAGTGGGACATTTTTATTAGCATAGCTCTGTCTCTGGCTAATTTGACCTTTATTAATATGTTTGTTAAAACCTAAAAAATGTATATCCATTTCTTCTTTGAGAAAAAAATTCAGATGAAAATTCAGCATGATAACAGGACAGAGATCTATACCTTGTTATATATTTTTATACCTTAACTACCTTTTCTAGCATAATTCTAATGCTTCTGCTTGTCATATTATTCATATTTAAGAATGCTCTTGCATGTTGAGTAATTAAAGCTACAAATATTCATCATAAAATTTAAGTTTTAAGTTGTAGTTTGTAGTTACTTGGAAGTGAGAGTTGGCCATTTTTTATCTTGCCTTAATCTGTGTTATAAATATATGTGCCTATTTGTGTTTGTACACTGTAATGGCTGCTAAAACATTTCATATCTTTGCTACTATTTAGTGCATCTATAAATTGAACAATGTGTCTGTATGTCTTCTATATATCTTTATCTCCACAGACATTCATTTTGTCAGTTTCTGTAAAAAGATTACTGGTAGTCTAGACATGTCTTTTGATGGAAGGGAACGAAAGCTTAAATTCTAGAACTTTTGATGTCAAAATCCCACAATCATGTATTAAGTTTGACTCCAGTATGGTTTGAAGGGAATAAGTAATATAACTAAATTTTTTTTTTTAGTTTTGACACTTTTCAATTCTTACCCTGTTGGTATCTAATGTATTCTTAATCATATATTTTTAAATATTTTTTTATTTCAAGGTTTCTTATCTGTGTTCATTTAATCAAATGAATGGCTTTGACAAAAGCACCATTTAATAACCTTTTATGTTACTATGAGTCTATAATATTGACCTGTTTTAAAGTTTTACCAAACTTTTCAGCATTTTTATTATTATTAGCTTTAACTTTTCTTAGATATTCTACTTTGAATTACAAAGGTGTAATAATTATAGATGAATATATAAATGGATGTTTAAGTGGTAGTCAACTAAATTTCATGTTTAAAACAAGAACTAAAATCAAAACAAATTTGAAGATTTGCCTTTACTGTTGGTTGAGCCAAATATAAATATCACAATTTTATTGGTAGGTGTCTTTCTAAAAAACAGTGAGTTTCTATCACACTTTTGAACTTCTAACTATTTAACCCTTTGCACTCGCTTGCTTTTTTCTCGATTCCTTGATTCTACCCAGGATTTATTAAATCTGGGGTATTTTTTAAATACCCCAGATTTTACAAAGCGTGGCAGTAGAATAAAAAACTGGAGTTTGTTTTCATATAGACTTATTTATTTGGATTTTTTTTTATATTTCAAATTATTGATACATTCAAAGAGTAATTTTAATCTCTATAATTTTTCATGGTGTGATATTTTTTGAAACATTCACCCACATGAAGACCTAGTTTACATTCACATGTTTCACAAAGATAAATTGTCTCTCTTCTTCCTCCTTTGATTTTTCTGTTAGAACAAACAATACAATCTTTGTGTTTTTTGTTAAGATGAGGTGTGATTATATGGAGCTTTCCATCTAAACGTTGCTCTAAGTTAGTGGATAATAATCTACCCCTGGAAGTTAGTGTACCATCTCTACATTTACATTTTACTTGTCCTTTCATGTTAATGAAAATAAGAAAAAATACTTGAAAAATAGACAAAAATCCCCCTTCCCCCTACGGTGAAACTACATGTCGAGTGTGGCTCAACAAACGAGCTGCTACCGATGCTAACCGTGTCAAGTCACACTCGACATCCTAGTGCAAAGGGTTAACTCTCAGGCAATAAGAGTGCTCATTATTTAAAAGAACACTCCAGCCAACTCTTTTGTCAAGTGAAGATAACTTTTGCATTATGAATAGTCATATTTTTATGAAATCACATTTTCACATATCATGTTGGCTTAAATCAAGTCACATTTTTTGAACAATAATAGACTTCAAAAGACTGGGGAAGGAAATCATAAATCAGAGATCCCAGGCTCCAGATTACTTTAATAAAGAAGTAAGCTTAGGCCGGGCGCTGTGGCTCAGGCCTGTAATCCTAGCTCTTGGGAGGCCGAGGCGGGCGGATTGCTCAAGGTCAGGAGTTCAAAACCAGCCTGAGCAAGAGCGAGACCCTTCTACTATAAATAGAAAGAATTAATTGGCCAACTGATATATATATATATAAAAAAAAAAAAAAATTAGCCGGGCATTGTGCATGCCTGTAGTCCCAGCTACCCGAGGCTGAGCAGAAGGATCACTCGAGCCCAGGAGTTGAGGTTGCTTGTGCTAGGCTACGCCACGCACTCACTCTACCTAGCAAGAAGCGAGACTTCTCAAAAAAAAAAAAAAAAAATTAGCCGGCATGGTGGCGCATCCTGTAGTCCCAGCTACTCGGGACTAGGGCAGAAGGACACTCAACCCAGGAGTTTGAGTTCTGTGACTAGCTGACCCACGGCACTCACTCTAGCCTGAAAAAATGAGACTCTGTCGCAAAAAAAAAAAAAAAAAAAGTAAGCTTAACATTCATCTAGGAAGATCACAGTGAGAGCAGGATATTGATCAGAATATTGCCTTTCTGTAAGCCACTCTTCAGTCAGGTGGTGTAACAAAGGGAAAAGAGCACAGTTCAGGGATAAGGGGACCCAAACACCAATGCCACACTTGGTGCTGTTCCCAGTGGGTTCTAACCAAGTCAGTGCATCTTTTTGGGCCTCCAGGTTTTTGACCTATCAAATAATCATTTTACGTACTGTGGTCTATTTACTTACTTACTATTAGCATCTAAGAAAACAATACGAAGGGCCAGGCGCAGTGGCTTATGCCTGTTGTAATCCTAGCACTCTGGGAAGCCGAGGCGGTGATCGCTCAAGTCAGGATTCGAACCAGCCTGAGCAAGAGTGAGACTTTGTCTCTACTAAAAAATAGAAAGAAATTAATTGGCCAACTAAAAATATATAAAAAATAATAGCCGGCATGGTGGTACATGCCTGTAGTCCCAGCACTTGGAGCTTAGCAGAAGGATTGCTTGAGCCCCAGATCTAGCTCATGACTAGGCTGATACCATGGCACTCTAGCCCAGGCAACAAAGTGAGACTCTGTCTCAAAAAAGAAAACAAAAAGAAGAAATACTATGCTTGACCAAAAAGCCAGGTAGAAATAAGTTACTCAGGTGAGCAGTGAGTGACCACTAGTGATGCAACTGCTGATGCAGCCTGTGAATTTTGAATACATCTTGTTTTTAAACTACATTGAACAATATTCCATAAGTGTGATCTATGATAACTTAACTGTTTACTCTTATGCCAGAGAGGAACATTGTAAGGATATCAGATATCTTTAAGAGCTTTCAAATCTTTAAGCAGGTTAGTACTTCGTAAGAACCGTTAACACAAAACTATTAACAATTTTCTTTTGAATAAAAGAAAGCTTATTTTGAGTAATTCCCCTTCCCCTCTGTTATAGGCAAATCTATTAAGCTGTCTTTACATAAACTTACTATACTCTTGAAACCAAGGAATTCTCTTATTTCTTTATTCATGTAAAATATTCACCATAGCATTTTTTTATAGAAATAATTATTGATCAGTCCTAAGACTGATGGGAAAACACATTGAGATGAGGCAAAATTTGTTTTTCATTTATTAAGGATATTTTCTTATAATTTAAGAAAAGTTAAAATAAGGATGGCTATAGGCACTTTTTTGTTTGTTTGTTTGTTTGAAACAGAGTCTCACTCTGTTGCCCAGGCTAGAGTGCCGTGGAGTCAGCCTAGCTCACAGGAACCTCAAACTCCTGGGCTCAAGCAACCCATCTGCCTCAGCCTCCCCAGTAGCTGGGACTACAGGCATGTGCCACCATGCCTGGCTAATTGTTTTGTCTGCATGTTTTTAGTTGGCCAATTAATTTCTTTCTATTTATAGTAGAGACAGGGTCTTGCTCTTGCTCAGGCTGGTTTCAAACTCCTGACCTTGAGTGATCCTCCCGCCTCTGCTTCCCAGAGTGCTAGGATTATAGGCATGAGCCACCGCGCCGGCACCTAGGCACGTTTTTTTTTAACTCCCTTAGATCTTTAATACAAATGTGGAAAAAACAAAGAACTGAAATTTATGTAAATTACTTGACCCTCATTAAAAATATAATTCAGGCCAAGTGCGGTGGCTCACGCCTGTAATCCTAGCTCTCTGGGAGGTGGGCGGATTGCTCGAGGTCGGGAGTTCGAAACCAGCCTGAGCAAGAGTGAGACGCCGTCTCTACTATAAATAGAAAGAAACTAATTGGCCAACTAATATATATAGAAAAAATTAGCCGGGCATGGTGGCTCATGCCTGTAGTCCCAGCTACGTTGGGGGCTGAGGACGAAGAGCAAACGGATCACTTGAGCCAGGAGTTTGAGGTTGCTGTGAGCGAGGCTGACGCCACGGCACTCACTCTAGCCTAGGCAACAAAGTGAGACTCTGTCTCAAAAAAAAAAAAAGAAAAAATATATATATAATTCAGGACCAGCCATGGTGGCTCATGCCTGTAATCCTAGCACTCTGGGAGGCCAAGGGCCGGTGGATCATTTGAGCTCAGGAGTCCGAGACCAGCCAGAGCAAGAGTGAGACCCCATCTCTACTAAAAAAAATAGAAAGAAATTAGCTGGGCATGGTGGTGCATGCCTGTAGTCCCAGCTACTTGGGAGGCTGAGGCAGTAGAATTGCTTGAGCCCAGGAGTCTGAGGTTGCTGTGAGCTAGACTGATGCCATGGCACTCTAGCCCAGGCAACAGAGTGAGACTCTTTCTCAAAAAATAATAATAATTTTATATATATATATATGTGTGTGTGTGTGTATGTATATATATATATAATTTAAACTAAGGATTAAATTTATTTTTTTAACAAATAAGTCAAGCCCCTCACACACATATAACATTTGTAAGGCCACATGAC